GATGGCGATATCCTGGACAAGAACGGCAACCCCATTGGCAAGGCTGAGCGCTGGGAGCCCGAGGAGAAGAAGCGCAACATCAACCCCATGGCCGGCCGCAAGGTCAACAAGGAGGGAGAGGTGCGCGATGCTGATGGCAACCTCATCGGCAAGCTGACCTCAGGTGACCTTCCTTCGTTGATCGGCAAGGAGATCGATGACAACGGCTACGTTGTGGACAACGATGGCAACAAGATTGGCGAATGTACCTTGATTGAGAACATTCCCGAGCCCGAGCCTGAGCCCGAGGAGCCTGAGGAGGAGGTGCAGGAAGAGGAGCCCGGTCCGTCCCCTGAGGAATTGGAGGCGAAAAAGAAAGAGGAGGAGGACCGCCAGCTGGCCAAGAAGATGAGCGCGATTGTTGGATCCACCTTGGACCGCCTTCGTCCTATCTGCAAGATGATCTCTGAGGTAAGACTCTAGCGCCAGGCGATGGTATAGGACTGATTGCTAACATCTCCCAGCACGTTGACAAGGCCGACCGCACTCCGAAGGAGGAGCTGGACGAGGAGCAGCTGGTCAAGGACGTGAAGCCTCTTCTGGAGGAGGGTGGCCAGATCCTCCAGGAATGCAACGGCGCGATCCGGGCCCTCGACCCCGACGGACGCATCGCCGCCACTGCGAAGGCCCGCGCCGCCTCGCACGAGGCCTCTCCGGAGGAATACGCGCTGGCTGACCAGCTCAAGGAACTCACCGACACGGTGCTGCGCACCATCGACAACGGCAAGAAGCGCATCGCCGGCATGCCTCACGCCAAGAAGGAGCTCAACCCTCTCTGGGGTCTGCTCAGCGAGCCGCTCTTCCAGATCATCGCGGCTGTCGGCCTGCTGCTGAGCGGTGTCCTTGGTCTGGTCGGTCGTCTGCTGGAAGGTCTGGGACTGGGACCCCTGGTGAAGGGCCTGCTCGGTGGCTTGGGTCTGGACAAGTTGCTCAGCAGCCTGGGATTGACCTCGCTCACCGACGCCCTGGGCTTGACTGGCCGCAAGAAGAAATAAAGGTTGGGCGCGGGTCGTGGTTGAGATTGTGATTCTTATATCTTTGTGATGTAGTTGTGATGACGAGCTTGATACCTGTACTGTTAGCTGTCTGATGTTTCCAATTTGACTGTCTTTGATCTTATCCGAATCGTGTCGTGTCATTGGTAGCGTAGTTTGCCTGCCTTGATTAAAGATCGACATACAACTCATACTATGTACCAGTAAGCAGACCCCCGGCAGGGCGTTATCTCGCACGGTCATCCAGGGAGGCGAAAGAGATAGTACTGTAGATCTTCATCTTATCGCATCCCAGCTATTCGTGCAGGGGGAATATGCTGGCTGATGTGGCTGGTCAGTGGGGTTACCAGGAAAGCTGACGGCATTCACACCATGTGTTCATAAATCCCCCCCTGAACCCCACCACCAAATATGAGATGATATATCATTGATGTACTGTACTGTGCTGGACTGTACTACTGTGCTGTACTATATTCGTATACTCAACATTATACTCCAAAGAAACAACCAAAAAAAAAGAGGGTATAAAACCTTATCCTCAACCATCCCACCCCCAAACCACCCAATCACCTACACTCACACCCCTCGACACCCATTCACCCATTCACCCATTCACCCCAACCCCAACACCCCACCCCTACCCTTGCCCTATCCAATCCCTGGGGAGAGAATCAAAGCTTCGCCGTCGGCGCAATCGCCTTCCGCCGGACCTGCTGGACGGAGAAATCCACCTCGTCGGCCGGGGTGGGGCCGGCGGTGGCGTCCTCGAACAGCCGCCGGCCCACGAGGTCGGACATGCGCATGACGCGCGAGGAGACCGTTGCGCCGTCGCGGCGGTTTTTTCTGGGCGCAGGCATAGGAATCAGTATCGAATGATATCTTGGGTAGAAAAGATGGGGGTCCATAAGCCCGGAAGACTTTCCGGGGGGGGGGGCTGTAAACTCACCCCTCACGTCGCGACTGCGCGATCAGCTCGGTAAAATCCCACAGGCGGCCGCGCGGGAGGACCTGGCCGGTGGTGGGATCGCGCTCGGGGGTCCATTCCGGGGCGAGGCGCACGGAGGAGGCCTTGGATCCCTTGCTCTTGGCGATGTGGATGATGCCCTCTTCGGCGAAGCGTTGGTAGGAGTTCTTGAGGGTTTCTTTGTTGACGGCTTCGAAGTAGGAGAGGTCGCCTTGGTGGTAGAGGGTTTTGCCGAGCTGTACGGGACGTGAGTTCTGTATTCCTGGAGAGAAACCGGGATGGAAAAAGAAAAAGGGAAAGGGGCTTACCAGCTGGGCGTTGTTTTGGGCTTTGCTCAAATCGATCCATACGTCTTTCGGGAAGTCGGAGGGCGGCGTGAGTCCCAGTAGCGAGACCGAGCCTAGCCACGACGCTTCGATGAAGGGCCAGATCAGGAAGCAGTAGAAGTCGTAGTTCTCGCGGCCGCATTGGCGCTCGGCTTCGCTGAGCTCGACGGTCAGCGGCTTGCCCGACGAGGGGTCGCGGCTGACGATGATCACGTTGTCCTTCTCCAGGCCCCGGAGGGTCTTGTCCAGGTTGGTGGTCAACCCTTCTGGCGGGAAGATGAATTCGCCGCGGAATAGCTGGGTTGGTTAGTGGATGGGAGATGCAAAGCGGGGAGAACGTACCTGCGACAGGAAAGAGACCTGGTTCATGAGCTCGGGGAACGACATGCGCTGGTAGGACGGCCCGCCGCCTTGTTTGATGCGCGTGTACATGGCCGCCGAGACCAGGGCTTCGGTGATGAAGAGGTGGATCGTCATGTTGCGGTAGAAGGAGAGCTGGAAGCGGTCCACCGCGTAGTAGGTCGGCTCGACCAGCCCGGTCACCTTGCCCACAATCTGCGGCCCCAGCACCTCCAGCGCGCGGTCGACAACCACTTCGGTGGGAAATCTGTAAAAGTGTGCCACGCGGCCGCCTTTGGCTTTGACCCGTTCACAGAGCCATTCGACGCGTCGCACGAGCTCGCCCTTGCCCACCCCGCGGCCACGCAGCGTGAGAAGCACCGTTCCGACCAGAGCGGTGGGCATCATGACTGACACATTGTTGATATCTGACAGCACCCGGTACCCTAACGACCTTAAGATGCGGCCTCGCTCCACATTGCTCAGCTTCTGACTGCCAATCTCGGTGATTTGGTCTGGGAGCCGGGTCAACTGCTGGGTGATGAACTCTTTCAGGCTCCATGGTTCATGGAAGCGGACGTCGACCCGACCCAGCTTCAAGGACAAGACGGACGAGGAGGAAAGAAAATCCGCCAGGTTCTCCTTTCGTTTCGGCTGACCCAACAGCTCGCTGATGTAGGACCTGGAGTCACGATTAGCCAACAGCCACGGACCAGGACTTGGCGCCATACTCAGTCTCAATGACCTTGTCGTATTGTGTGCTAACAGGGCAGATAATCGTATCTTCCACCCGGCCCGACAAGACACTATCCAGGATAAAGCTCAGGATCCCAAACTTGGGCGACAGTAGCTTCCCCGTCCGCGACCGACCACCTTCAATAAAACACTCGAAGTTGAACCCCTGCTGCAGTAGCGTGTCGATATACGCCTGCACGACAGTATTATAGAGCGGATCATTCCCAAAGCTCCGGCGAATCCACATCGCCCCTGCGCCCACCATCCGTTAGCCGTCGGTACAGATAAGCGAAGCCGAGCAGCCGTAATCTTACCTGCATGCTGCAAGAATGGGCCCACCAGCGGGAAATTGAGATTATCACCGGCGACCACCACCGGAAGCCCGATCCCCAGACGGTAACAGATCAACTGCAGCGACACATAGTCGACGTGGGATTTGTGGCACGGCAGGAAGACAATGGACCGTTTCTTCCGCGCCGCCTCCTCGGCCACCGACCTTAACCGAAGGACCTCCTCGCTAGACACATGGATCCCTACCCGTCATCAGCACCCATATCAGCCACCGTTGTGCCCAATACATACCCTGATGATAAGCCCTCGTCAGCAGCTGCGTAGCGACATAGTAGGCGCCACGAATGAACCGCCTGCTCTCCATCTTGCAGATCATATTCTCCAGCATGGAGTCGACCACCTCCTTGAGGTGGGTCTCGATCTCATTCCGCCGGTGCACCTTCTTCGCGTCCCGCGACGGACCGGGGACCACGTCCAGCAGGCCTTCCTGCACTTCCACCGCCAGGCGCAGCTCGGCCAGCTCCTTCACTTTCCCCTGCAGCAGCGGGCTGGCGAGGATGCGGGACTTCATGCGCTCGGAGAAGCCTGGGTAGAAGATGGGCTGGCCGATGACCTGGTCGTAGGCGCGCCAGCCGGTGCCGGACATGTAGAGGCTGACCTCGCGGAGGAAGTCGAAGGGGTTCTCGCGGAAGCGCGCCATGTGGCGGACGAGGTTGCGCTCGGTGATCTGGTCATCTTGGGGCTCGGGCCCGCCGGTGACGCCGCTGGGGTGGATGGTGAGCTTGTTGCCGACGATCTCGAGGTCGGGGGCGGATTCGCCGACTGGGGGGGTGGTGTCGGAGGGCATTGTGGTTGAGATTGGGGGTCGTGGTGGTGCTATACGCGGGAACGCCGAGGGAATTGTTTGTTGGTCGGACAGGGATGGGGGATGGAGATCAAGCTCAACACGGTTCGTTAAAGCATCCGGCAATGAAGATGAAGGTGAAGGTGAAGATGAAGATAATCAGGTGAGAGGAAGTGGGTAGAGAGCTGGAGCCATGATCAGATAGCTCCAGGATGCTGGGAGGGGAAAGAGAAGACAAGAGGGGAGGGAATTGGAGTAAGAAACGAGAAAAGGGACGATCTCCGCGCTATTTCCCCAGAGTACGGAGTGGCTTGACCGTTTGTTAACTTACAGTACGTTAACTTACCTCGGATGTGCTCACGTGAAAGTGACGGTACTGTACCAGGAGACACTAAGCCCAATAGAGAAGCAGCGGCAAAGGATGAGGTCAACGCAGCAGCCATCAGCACGATCCATCATCCCATCCCCTTCTACCTTTTCCTCGCCTCTCGCCTCTTGCGTCTGCCTGGTTCGGGATGGACCGCAGAGTATCCATGCGATCATTTCCAGATGATCTGACCCAGGCCATTTCCCCCAGAAACTTCATTGACCATTTCCCCAGTCGACCGCCGTCCCCTTGAAGCATCACCCCAAGACGGTAGCAGACAGAACAGAACAGCTCCACAGCGGGGACCCGCAAAGGCAAAGAAGCATTCATCGCATCCGCCAGACCGAACAGCCACCCAAAAATCCATCCAACACCTCGACCCTTGTCACCGCACCCCCAGACACAATGTTCACCTTACGACGGCAATTCTCCAGTACGCAGCCATCTCCTCTGCACATCCACCTCCCCCCATGCACCACAACCCATACTAACACTCCTCCAAAAAGCCGCCGCATCCCGCCTCAAACCCACCACGTCCAGCACAATGACCACCCCCGCACCTCCCAACAAACAACACACCTTCCAAGTCTTCCGGGACGTGCCCCCGCTGCGCGCCCTCCGCCGAGAAATGCTCCTCTCCAACCGGACCGTGGGCCTCGTGCCGACGATGGGCGCCCTGCACGAGGGCCACCTGTCGCTGATCCGCCAAGCGGCGGCCGAAAACACGGACGTGATCGTCAGCATCTTCGTGAACCCGACGCAGTTCGGCGTGAACGAGGACCTGTCCAGCTACCCGCGCACCTGGGACAGCGACGTCGCCAAGCTGGAGGCGCTGAACGCGGAGCTTGCTGGCTCCATCAACCATAAAAACAACGCCTCCCCGCAGCCCCAGGGCCGCATCACCGCGATCCTCGCCCCGACCGCGCAGGTCATGTACCCGTCGCTGCCGCCGACCTCGGAGATCGACGGCGACGGCTCCTTCGTGACGATCACGCCCATCGCCCGGAAGCTCGAGGGGGCGGCGCGGCCCGTCTTCTTCCGCGGGGTGGCGACAGTGTGCATGAAGCTGTTCAACATCGTGGGCGCGGAGCGCGCGTATTTCGGCCAGAAGGATGTGCAGCAGACGGTCGTGATCCGGCGCATGGTCAAGGATTTCCACGTGGACACGGAGATCAAGATCGGGGCGACGGTACGCGAGGCCGATGGGTTGGCGATGAGTTCGCGGAATGTGTATCTCGGGAGCAGGAGGCGGAGCGTGGGGTTGGTGCTGTATCGCGCGTTGAAGGCGGCGGAGGAGCGGTATGCAGGCGGGCAGAAAGTGCAGCGGCGGGAGATCTTGGAGGCGGCGGAGGAGGTTACGGCGCAAGTCCTCAAGGAGCAGGAGGCGTTGGGCCCGCACCAGCGCGCGCGGTTCGAGGTCGATTACATCTCGCTGGCGGATCCGGAGACCTTGGAGGAGCTGGAGGTCGTCGACCCCGAGAAGGGGGCGATTCTGAGTGGCGCGATCAAGATGGCGCCGCTGGAGGAGACGGCCCTCGGCGAGGACTGCGGGCTGGGCGAGGGCAAGGTGCCGGTGCGACTGATTGATAACTTGATCTTTGCGCCGCGGGCGTAGCTGCTTGCTTGCTTGGTTGCTTCGGGTCAGGTTCTACGCGCTATACCGAACAGTACAGTCCATATACCCCAAACCACCCAGAAAAGATGTTTTATACAATGTAAAGTAGACTAAATACAGACCCTATACTTATACTACAAACCCCATAATTAAATCCCCAATCACTAACCCTCCACTCCGTCCCCCAAACCCTCCGCGTTAAGCGCATCCCAAGAAAGGAAAATAGGGCACATGGAGAGGGCTCGGAAGGAGACTCGGCCCGAGAAAATTTCCCATCCGCAACGCTTCCTCCTGGGCAGTTCCCCTCCGCAACCGCAACCGCAACCGCAGTCCGACCGCCTCAGAGAAAATCAACGGTCTGGAACAAACCAGCAATCAAAAAAACTCAACCTCGAATCCCCCCTCAGCCAACAACTCCCTCCCTCGTGAACACCTACAATACCACCACCACCCATCCCACGAACCCCCCGCCCAAAAAAAAAAATGGCCGACGACGGCCTCCTCCTAAACTTCACCCTAGGAGGCGACACCGTGCTCAACGCCACCACCACCAAAGTCAAAGGCGGCACATGGCGGGACCGGCTCAGCGCAAAGAAGATCGCGGCGCACCGGAAGACGCCGCGCGACCCGAACGCGCCCAAGCCCGAACACACGAGCAAGAACCCCAACCGGATCGCCGTCTCGTCGCGGCCGGTAAAGCGCCAACGGACGGACGACAGCAGCAACAACAACTCCGGCCCAAACAACCACACCCGCGGCAATCAAAACCAGTCGGCGCGGCCGTTCGTCTCCTCGCTTTTCACCAAGAATCCTGTCCCCCAGAATGCGGAGGCCGAGCCTAAGGATGGAGAGGAGGGGGTGGAGGTGGAGGAGGCGAAGCCGACGAACGCGCCGCTGATCGATGGGCTGGATACGTTTACGAATCTGGGGTTGTCGGAAGCGCTGGCGGCGCATCTGCTGACGAAGTTGGGGGTGAAGGCGCCGACGGCGATTCAGAAGGCGTCGATCTCGCAGCTGCTCAAGGAGGAGAGCGATGCGTTTATTCAGGCGGAGACGGGGTCGGGGAAGACGATGGCGTATCTGTTGCCGTTGGTGCAGCGGCTGATGAGCATCTCCAAGGCGTCGGCGGGCGGGAAGGACGGGGTGGCGATTGGGGGGGCGCCCGCCTCCTCCGGCGGCGCGGAGGGGTCGGTCGTGCATCGCGATAGTGGGTTGTTTGCCATTGTGCTGGCGCCGACGCGCGAGCTGTGCAAGCAGATTGCGGTCGTGTTGGAGGGCTTGCTGCGGTGCGCGCACTGGATCGTGGCCGGCACGGTGATCGGTGGCGAGAAGAAGAAGTCCGAGAAGGCGCGGCTCCGGAAAGGGTTGAACATCCTGGTCGCGACGCCGGGCCGGTTGGCGGACCATCTGGAGAACACGCAGGCGCTGGACGTGAGCAATGTGCGGTGGTTGGTGCTGGACGAAGGTGATCGGTTGATGGAGCTGGGGTTCGAGAAGGAGCTGCAGGGTATTATTCAGAAGCTGGACGCTCGGCAGCGCCCCTGTCGCATCCCCGGGGTGCCGGCCAAGCGCACGACGATCCTGTGCTCGGCGACGTTGAAGATGAACGTGCAGAAGCTGGGCGAGATCAGTCTGAAGGACGCGATCCACGTGCAGGCGGACCCCGCCGACGAGGACCCCGAGGCCGTCAAGCACAAGGACGAGGACGAGGCGTTCCGCGTCCCCGCGCAGCTGAAGCAGTCCTACGCGATCGTCGCCGCCAAGCTGCGGCTGGTCTCGCTGACGGCGTTCCTGAAGCGGACGTTCATGCGCAAGGGCTCCGTGATGAAGGCGATTGTCTTCGTCTCGTGTGCGGACTCGGTGGATTTCCACTACGAGCTCTTCACGCGCAAGCTCAAGGCCGAGGAAGACGACAACAAGAAGGACAGCGACGGAAGCTCCGACAGCGACGACAGCTCCTCGTCGAGCGAGGATGAAGAATCCGACAACGACAAGAAGCCAGCCACCAAGCCCAACGAGCACGGCACCGTCGCCCTGGCCACCGCGTTCTCCAACCCGTCCAACCCCGTGATGCTGCACCGACTGCACGGCTCGCTGCCGCAGCACGTGCGCACGGCGACGCTGGGCGCGTTCGCGCGCAGCCGCGAGGCCTCGGTGCTGATCTGCACGGACGTGGCGTCGCGTGGTCTGGATCTGCCCAACGTGGACCTGGTGGTCGAGTACGACCCGGCGTTCAGCGCGGAGGACCACCTGCACCGGATTGGGCGCACGGCGCGTCTGGGCCGCGACGGGCGGGCGCTGCTCTTCCTGATGCCCGGCTGCGAGGAGAACTACGTCGACATCCTGAAGCGCGGGTACCGCGACGGCGGCAAGGCGCTGACGCGGCTGAACGCGGACGACATCCTGAAGCGCGGGTTCGGCGGCAACGTGCAGGCGCAGAGCAAGGACTGGGAGGTCAAGACCACAGACTGGCAGATGGACGTCGAGCGCTGGGCGGTCGACCACCCGCAGTACCTGGAGATGGCGCGCCGCGCGTACCAGTCGCACATCCGCGCCTACGCGACCCACGTCGCCAGCGAGCGCCACATGTTCAACATCAAGGAGCTGCACCTGGGCCACCTGGCCAAGAGCTTCGCGCTGCGCGACCGGCCCAGCAAGATCAACGTGCCGGGCCTGCGGCAGAGCAGCAGCGACGCCAAGAAGGACTTCAAGGCGGCGCGCAGCGGCGGCAGCAGCAGCAGCACGGCGGGCGGGAAGAAGCGCAAGGCCGGCGAGGATGACGGGGACCGGGGCGCCGCGGATGTGTCTCTGGCGGCGCAGAAGATGAGAGCCAAGATGAGGGAGCACATGGCGGGGGCCAACGAGTTCAATCTTGCTTAACTAACCTTCACCTTTTTCCACATTTCTCCCAACAAGACCAAAAGCAAGAGCATGTAAATAATCCAGAGATTGACGGATACAGACCAATTCAATAGATATCCCACAACGAGATCTTCCCATCCTTGGACCCAGCCGCCAGCCAGTGGGTATTCTGGACTTTGTGATTGCGTAGTCGCCGATGGACGGCCGCCAGGCCGCCTCCTCTGCCGTTAAGGCCTGTAAGCGTACGCTCACTGGAGCCAACACCTTCACCTTCACCGTCACCTTCACCTTCACCCTCCTCCCCATCCCAATCCCCCGTCCCCACCCCCGCAAAAGCAACAGCATAACACCCCTCCTTATGCCACTTCAAAACCGCCACCTCCTTCAGCGTCTTACACGAATAAACCCGGACCCTGGAATCCCACCCGGCCGTCGCCAAGATGCGCCCATCGGACCGCACCCTCAGCCCCTGCTGCCCGGCATGCCGCGTCTTCACCACCTTGACGGGCTGGCCTCTACCCCCAGGACCCACGGACCCTTTGGGTAGAAAAGGATGCATAACGACCTTCGCATCGGCCGCGGACGAGAACATCCACTCGCCAGACGGAGCAGCATCGATCGATAGCACCGGCTGGTCGTGCGCGCGGCTCGCGTACAGCTTCTCCCATTTCCAGGTGCCCGCTGCAAGACCCTGCTGCTGCTGCTGCTGCTGCGGACCCAGACCCTGGAGGGGGACGGGAGACCGGAAGACCATCACGCTGCCGTCCTCGTACGCGGCCGCGACGTGGAGGTCCCGGCCCTCGGGGCCAGGAAAGAGGGTCAGCGCCATGACCATGCCGGTCTTGACGTCGCCGTCGGCGGGGATGGTGCAGACGCGCCGCTCAGTGGGGAGGTGGAACAGGTCGATAGCGCCGGAGTTGAGGGCGTTGGGGACGGCGATGAGTACGGGGGAGGGGGAATTGTCCCGGGACGGAGGCTCAGGCTCGGCCTCCGCTCCTCCATCCCCACCCCCATCTCCGTCCAAAGACACAGACAGCAGCGGAGCGAGATCCACCCACGCAAAGGCACAAAAGTTCAACGCGTTCACAGGCAGCGAGTGCACCAGCCACGGCTGCCTGCCCGCCCCTCCACCTTGCCCTGCCTCTCCTCCCGTCTCCCCCGGCGGGCCCGTGGAAGCAGCACCCCCAAGAGAATCAACCGGCAATCCCCTCCGCAGATCCACCTCCTCAGCAACGCTGAACCGCCACACCCTTAGCTTATGATCGCGGCCATGTCTGTCTTTTATCAGCAAACCAAATCTCTCAAAAACCGCATAGCCCCAAGCCTCTCAAACAAACAACCAAGACCAACACAACACAAATAAGCAAGGGGAGGGGAAGGGAAGGGGCAAACCCACGTAAAAACCTCCGTAACCCCACTACTCCCACCCCCCCGAAACCGGGCATGAACACCCAGAACGGCGCCGTCGTGCGCCTTCCACACGGCGACGGGCCGCTTCGAGACCAGATCCCAGACGGCGATCCAGCCGTCAGCGTCGCCGGACACTAAGCGCAGGTTGTGGTGGTAGATGTGCAGGCTGTGGATCTGGGCGGCGTGGCCGCGGAGGATGTAGGTTGGGGTTGCGGGGGGTTTGGTTTGGGGGGTGGTCATTGCATTGGTTTGATTATGCTGTGGAATTGGGGAAGGGGGATTTGAGGGTGTTTGAGTGAGTGATTGGGTTCGGTTTGTGAGAAGGTGGAGGTTGATTGGAATTATAGATGGCGGATGTATGGAAGTTGGTGTTGGATTCATGCAGAAGGTGGAAGCGGATCTGTGGTTGACGGGCGGTCTTGGCGTTCCGGGTTGATGGACTGCATGGGATTCAAGCTTCTATATCCAACCGTTCTGAAAGGAATGGCACAAGGACAAGCTGATTAAGTAGTTCTTATGTTCACAGCGTCTTGGGTCCTATACACAGAAAGAGGTTGCAATATGAACACGTCTAAGTTGAACCGATGCCGGGAATATAGAATATGCTAAATTACTATACACTCTAAAGCACCAAATGTCCACCCTCGCTGGATAGCACCCAAGAACCCCAACCAACGCCTAATCACTCGTAAACTACAATCAAACCCCCACACCTACAAGCCACGACTACCCCCCACACCTACAACCCAAACGAAAACCCCCCCAACGCTCGATGCGGCGCAACATAATGATCCTGGTACGGGTGGTTCTCCATCGAGAAATCCGCCGACGCCATCAGTGGGTTGACCACCCCCACGATCTTCGACTCCGGCGGGATGTGGCTCGGCCGCAGGGGCGCATCAGGATGGTCACTGCCATCCCCACTCCCAAACATGGCCACGATCTCCTCCGACGTCGCCATGGGCGGGCCGTGGTGGCTGCTCCACCCCCACGCTGCCTGCAGCTCGTTCTTGACGTTCTCCGTCCGCCACCCCGTCTCCTTGATGATGTTATCCAGAATCTCGAAGACCTCGTGCTGGGCCTCGCGCGTCACGAGACATCCGGCGGCGATGGCCAAGAACCGGATGGATAGACTCGCTACGCCCCTGCAAGAAAAGGTTAGCATATGGAATGGAATTAGGCGATGCACCAACAAAACGCACCGATCCTTCGAGTGCGCGACAATCCCGCAGATGTCTCGCGCGTGGCCCTGTTGGACGGTCTGCATTTCCGCGCTGAACTCGGACTCGAGGGGGTTCGTTTTCGTCAGCAGAATGCGAGTGGTATGGTATAGCAGTTGAGCCACGATTGTAGAGCGTTTGATGAGCCTTCCCGAGTTAGTCTATGACACAAAACACGGCAATCAACACAGCAAGCTCACCATATCTCCGGAAAGACGGATTTGGAGTTCGTCTGCCAGGAATGAAGATAGCCGACCGGCATCATGGACCGTGGCACGGCCCGAACCCATTGATCGCACCATTCGTTATACGTACACCACTCCTGGTATCGCTGGCTCACCCGTGCGTCACTGATGGGATCGTCCACGCCCTGGTCCTGGCCCATCGACGACCGGAAGTTCGCGACCTTGGCACAGATGAAGACCATTTTGTGGGTCCAGGCCTCTTCGTTGCCTGCTACACTCGGCTGGGCCTGGTCAAACTCCAAATCGACACCCCAGGAGTCTGGGTTCCAAGAGAGCGCCCAGTTGAAGTGCAGACAGCTGATCAGCTCCATGCTAACGTTCAACCAGAAACACGCTCCCCCGAGTCCAGGGGTCTTCGCATCCCAGTTGCATTCCTTGATCAAGGCTCGAGCTCCGGCGATATGGCTCATGCCCTGGATCGGTCGACCCGACATCAGCTCGTAGATGTTCAGAAGAATGGCGGTTGTGGCACACAAAGCAGAGTCGCGATCCGGATCCTGCAAGGACCGCAGAAGATACTGAGAGGCTTCGTCGTGAAAGAGTGCGGCCTTCTGCTCGCCGTAAGATGGGTTCACATGGTACAGATGTCGCGCACCACAAGCCAAAATAGCCTTAAAGAGCATTGGCTCCTCTAACGCATGGAATGGCAATACCTGGGTAAACTGGCGGGGTCAGCTACGTAACGGAGCCATACATCACAATACCCAAACTCACATGCTTTACCGCATCCATGGCGTCCATCCATAGCCCAACCTCTTCTACAAACACTTGTAGGAGAAACACCTCCTCTGGATTGTTGAGACATGTATGGTTGGTCGAGTTGATATGGCCATGTCGTGTCGACCGAAAGGGGGCATACGAGGTACTTGGGTCTGGGAACAACGAGGCCGGATGAGAAATGCTGCTGAGTGATGCGCCAATATTGTCGGACTGAGCATTCCCGAACCCTTGCATATAGCTATCCTTCACCGTGGCGGGCGCGTTCGAGTTCAACGATCCCGTCATGCCGTGCGGCTCTGCGTCCTCAGCAACAAGCGGGGGGTACCTCTCGAACCCGCCCACGTATTCAGACGCGATGATCCGAGACTCATCGCGAAAAGTGATTCCTTTCCCCTGGAGACGGACCACACAGTGCGGCGGTGTCGCGGTCTGGGTGTCGATAAAATTCAAGCGGATGCCACGCCGGCAGATTCTGCCCGACTTGCGGCAGTTCTGACATTGATGCAAGGCCTCGTCGCACTTGAGGTGCCGTTCTCGACAGGTCAGACAGCCAGTCCGGACGCGCCGCGGCTTCGTCGCGACCTTGCCCTTCCGTCGGCCGCGGCTAGCCGACGTGCGTGGTGTGTTCACCGAAGCGCTGTTCGGGGTCGAGACCCCGCCTTCGTCGGAGGGGGTCGGTGTCGTCCCTTGCGTGGTGACCTCGGCCGCTAAGAAGGGGCTCTGGTCGTCCAGCTCCAGGTCGGGAATATCCGCAACCGCCCCAGGATCCGTCAGGTCCAGCACAATGTCAAGGTCCAGTGTCGGCAAGACATGGTCGTCGACGGTGGAGGCCATAGCAGGCCGGCTCTATCGGGTGATGCCCGTACTAGGCTGGAGGATGTTCAGTGTCCCGATGCGATCATCTACAAGCCCCGAATTCAGCCCCAGAGACGGTGACTCTGCATGGTGACAATATCGACGGCCGCCGTGAAGGCTATTCCTGATCCGCGCACCAGATTCACATGTGGCAGCGGTGGCTCGGAGGGAGGGGCGGGGCAACCGGCGACAGTGTGCTGTAGAGAGAAGATTCACAAAAGACCGCGTCCTGGAAGTTGGATGCATGTGCATCGACCGCTGAGGTGAGGCTCGTAAACCGTGGGGTGGACACTAAGCTAGATCAACAAATGTCAGCTTGCAGGGATCAACCATAGATTCTAAAGCAAAGCTCGGCAGGTGGACGAGAACGAACATCAAATAGAATGCAGCTCACAGCGTCTCTGGAAGTCTGGATAAATGGATGAAAGGGAAGCCGGCCGGCGATCTCGAAAGATTTGCGGGGGAAGTCGCTCTGCCTGTGGCATGGAGAGCTAACCCCATTGGGTCTAGTGCAAACAATCCAGTGCAACCGCGGAACTCCGGAATCAACCAACTACTCCGTACATTTCTACAACAACATTCGCTATTTTCTAGTGCCTATTGAATATGCAGCATGGTTTTGAATGGGTATATCACCTTCCAGAATCACTTATATGATTGATATGACCCCAGAGAAAATATCGGACTTCGCAGTCACGGCCAGCAGGAGTTAACGGCTGCATCTACTCGTTAGTTCATCAGCGAAGGATCAGCCCTCGCATACCACTTCACTCCACCGATCATACAGGTTGAAATCTCGATGGATCACTTATGCTTTGCTTCTTAGCCTGGGCAGGCGTACGCGGAGATGAAGCAGAAGCATGAGTGCAGCCCACACCGCAGCGGAGAAGAACGTCACACGAAGTGCGGCGGCATATGCCCCGATCACTGCAGAAATGTCAGCAGTCTGTCGGACAATCGGTGTTGGACGTTAATCGACCTACCTTGGTGTTGACTGAGGGGGTCCAGCTTCGCGATAGCTTGCACAGACTTGCGAACCAGCAAAATGATGTCGGCCTTGTTGGTGCCCGTGACCCTATCGTCAAGCTCATAGAGCAGACTATTCTGGAAAATCCAGCTGCTCGTTGCCACGCCCATGACTGATCCAAGATTTCGCCACAATCCTAGAGTCGTCGTCGCCACGGCCTGGTCCTCTTGTTCGGAGGTCGCGAGCACCGAGACCATCAACGAAGGAAACGCGAACCCCTGTCCCAGACTCGTCAAGGCAACGCACATCATCGCAATCACATCCGGGGTCCCAACTCCCATGGTGGCGGCCGCTATCCCTCCGATAAGCATACAAACATCACCAATCATCACCGTCGGCTTTAGTTGCTTGGTCCGAGTGATCAGGAACCCGGTCGCTACACTAGAGGTCGTCACTGCAAGCGTAGAAGCCAGTAGCCTGAGACCGGAGTCTGTAGGCGAGGCCAGCTTGACTGCCTGGAAGTAGAGGGGAGCATTGAAGACCATGGTATTGACCGAGATCGCCCCGAAGAAATTCCCGAAAATGAGACTCGCACGCGGCTCCTTTAACAGCAGCGAAATCGGCATGACTCCCCGCTCCACATTACGTTCATAGCGGACGAACAAAACTGCGAAAACCACGAAAGATACCAGCGAGGTGACGACAATAGGATGAGTCCAGCTGAAGACATTGCCGCCCAGGTTGAGTCCCATAATGAGCGCCGTGACCGCGAGCACCAAGAGCAACGACCCCACAAGGTCAATATTCTTAAGCAAGCCCATAAAGGTCAGACGCTCCGTCTTGGCTCGTTTCCTCCCCAGGTCGGCAGGCACCGTCCAGGCGGCTACAATGAAGTAGATAAAGATGAAGGGCAGCTGTACCAAGAAAGCACCTCTCCAGCCCACTTGATCACATAGATAACCGCCGAAAGCAAGCCCAAGGAAGCCTCCCAGACCAAGACAGAGATTGACGTAAGACTGGTAGACTCCGCGGTACTCCAGGCGAACCAGATCACTAGACAGGATCATGCCCATCGAGAAGACGCCACCGGCGCCCATGCCGCAGAACGCCCGAGCGGCGATGAAACTCAACATGCTCTGGGCAGCCGCACACCACGCGGTAGTAATGAAGAAGACCGCGATGGCAAAGAGGTAGACAGGCTTCCTGCCCACGGTGTCGGAGATGCGGCCAAACAGCGGCAGGAACGCCGTGGATGTCAACAGGAACGCCGTCGAGAGCCATGATGCCGAGTTCGAGGCGTGGAAGTGAGACGTGATGACCGGGTGGCTGGAGGCCATCAGGGTGGAATCGAAGAATCCGATGATGTACCCCATCATAACTCCACCGAAGATGAGCCAGAATCGCATGGGAGACACGTTGATGAAGCGCGAGGCATAGTCGTCGACTTCTGGCCTCTGACCCGCTTCCGGATCACGGTTGTCTTTGACATCATCTTCGGGTGTGGGGGGAATGGTTTCTAAGGTAGGCTCAATGTCAGGGCCTTGGGGGATTGAGGTGACTCTGGTGAGACCGAGAAAAGCGGAGCTGTCTTCGGCGGTGAAGGAAGAGGATAGTAAGTTTGGATCAGGCCCGTTGCTTCCAGCATCGTGCGTATGCGTGTGCGTGTAAATTGGCTGGGATGGTGAGCCATTCAACAGCGGTGTTGATTCTGTGGCATCCGAGGCCACATGGGAGACAGTCATAATCGCGAGACAGTGTAAATGTATGAATCTAATCTTTATGTGAAAGAACTCTCAAAAACAAAACAACTGAAAACTTTTCACGGAAACAACAACAACGAAGAGAAAACTTTTCTGTGCAAAGAAAAATGGAGAACTGGCAGCCAGACGTGGGTTGCAAAGGGGTCTTGAATCATAGGGTCCGATAACAATCGAAATTTATAGAGAGAGAGAGAGATTTCTAGCGGGTGGGGGGGAGGGGAGAGAAGCTAAGGATGCATGGCGCAGGTAGGATCCATCGCAGTGCACGGGGCGGATGGTGAAGGAGGGAGTGAGTCGACGGGTGGAAGCGCTCTAGCCTCTAAATATGACTGCGTACGGAGGAATACTCGGTCGATAGACTAGATCATGACTATGACTCGGCCTCCAACCTCAAGTCTTCGGACAAGACAAGAAAAAGAGGGGAAAGGAAGGGGACCGCGGAAGAGCTCCACTACCTGCCGCTAGATCAAATTTTTCTTTGGCCTTGCAGCTCACCTACCTGGTCAGTGATTGGCAGGGTCTTTGTTATAATCAGGATATCTGGTGACAGAGACTTAAATCCCTCGTGCAGAGAGAGAGGATGCAGTGTGTAGTGTGCAGTGTGCCGGATGTAGTATGCAGTTCCATAAGACAACTGAATGCATGGCTATAGGTGAGACCCGATGTCGGTCTATGCAAATGAAGTATGAAGGAGTATGATTTGTTGGAGATGGAGTCATCCGACCCAGTTGTTGCATCGCGCCTTAAACCAGATGGGGCTTAGTCGCTGGGGCTCCGCTGCCATTGCCGGTACTTACTATGAGTCTATGAGTATTTTGAGCCTGGTTATCTCGGCTCTCATCATGCATCCCTCATGGAAGTAGAAGTCTAAACTTCAAGGTCTCTGGGTCAACATGAGCCTACTCTGCTGCTGGCCGATTGTCCAGCGGTACAAGGTGTAGCGTCGTCAATGTCAGATTACCTCCACCTCATCGGCTTCTCAGAGTAATCACTCACACAATCCAGCCGCGTTCAATTGTCCGCTCAATATCAATATACCCGAACAAGCTGGGGTAATCGAGCGATTCGAATATATAGGAAGACCTCAAAGCTCGCATCCGCCGTGTGACGCGCACACAGGCAAATGCCTAACTCACATTCCACTGAAATTCCCGCCTGCATGAAGTTCATTGTAACACAGCAACAAAAGCAAAACCCCAACTCCGCTGCTCTGGGCGACCTGCATATCACCCAGCTTATTCCACGAGAGGTTTAACTTTTCACCTGCAGCGCAAGCTTCAAGGTTGGGTAATTTTCTTACTCTTTCAAAATCTCAAGGGAGACTCTTGGATCAAAGGGTATCGACCACTACACAATATATCAACATCTTCGAACTGTAGCAGTTATACTGTGGTATAAAAATAATAGAAACACATCACGTATTTTCCTGTCATTGCCGCATGTTATCAAGTGCATGTAACTTTCGGCACATACAAAGGTGCGCTCAAGAGCACCCTCCCGCACCCGCAATCTCGATGATTATTTGTAGATACAAGGCACGCGACATATGACTCGTTTGAGTAATTTCCAATCCTAGAAGCCCCAAATCAATCCAGCCCAAGAGTTCGGGAGAGCTTAAAGCCGCCCGGGACCAGATGCTGAAACACTCCCTCGGGATCATACTTTCTGGCCACCTGTCGCATGAATCTCACATTGTCCGGTCCATACCCACGAAGCGGGTCCTGGGTGCCTCCGGCATAGTTCAGATAGATGTACTCGTTATATGCACCTGTCAACCAGGCGTATGTGTCTAGCTTCACCCTTCCAGATCCAGCGAGATGATGAAAGAGGCTGTCATCCGCCTCGTCGCTCCAGGCATAACTGATAATGATATCTGTTGCAGTGACTCACGCACGATCAGTATGCATTAACATGGTATGACAGGAGCGGGACGAGATGATGGGCGGTAGAAGGCGATATAACTCACTGAGCATATTTTCGTTGAATCGTTCCAATCCAAGCACATTCCCTCCTCGCGCCTCGCTGTCCTTCCAGAAAAGAGGGACCCAGGGCTGCACCACTAAGATAATTCCAAAGTCCTTGCTGCGGGCTCGAGATTTTGCCCTCCGGATCTGCTTTGAGTGGGTCTCGACGGCTTGACGGATAACGTCTGCTCTGTTGAGATAAGTGCTTGTTTGACCGTCGACGCTAGGTAAATGTGAGTTTATAACTGAGTTTCTTGTGACATTGCCTGTGGAGTTAGATGAGCCTCACCGATAAGATGTATAAGTATATCTGGTTTGGTCCACAATCGTCGAGATCCGGGTCGTATCCGTGATGTTAGGAATCTGATAGAATTTCTGAAACACTGCAGGCCGCATCACAGGTCTCGTGTAAGCCAACGTAGCGACAATATCGGTTCGATCTGTGGTGGCATTGTAATTGAAGATGCCATACCATGCGCCATAAGGGTCGGTGGCGATATTATCGGTAAAATCTGTCGCGGCAGCGATGTACTCCGGAGCGCGAGAGATATTGTAGACAAGAGCGCCGCCCCATAGATCTTCCGCAGGCAGGGTATCCATATCAAACGTAGTCACGATGCCAAAGTTATTGGAGCCCCCCTTCAGGGCCATGAAAAGGTCGGGATGTGAGTGCCGATTAGCATAGACAATCTCGCTGCTCGCCAAGACCACCTCGAAGCCTCGGACATTGTCACAGCTGAGACCAACACGCGCGTTGTATAACGAAAGCCCTCCGCCGGTCAGAAAGCCTCCGACGCCGATGGGCCCTACACGGCCACCCGCAACTGTGACGTTACTCTCTAGCAAAGTCTCGTACACTGAGCCCCAGAGGGCTCCGGCTTGGATTGAAGCAGTGCCTGTGCTGGGGTCATAAGTAGTACGATTTATCGACGAGAGATCAATAGTAACTCCAGGCTCGATATTTGCCGCGCCGGGAGTCGGCGTGTGGCCGCCACTACGGACGGCAAAGAAACAGGGCCCAACATGCGAAGTGGTTAGTATTCGAACAGCAACAGAGACGTCCTGCGTTGAGAGAGGTTGAACAATGCAGGTAGGGTGTAGCCGGGCGTTGAGGGAGTAGTAGGAACGGATGGACTCTTCATATGCAACACTGCCTGGGAAGGCTATTCTGCTGCTAATTCCGCTGGTGTTAAGGGCTGCACACTATAGCGCATCCGAATCAGTAATTTGAACGGGCTGCTAGTTCGGCAAGGTGGTTGTAGACATACACAAAGATCTGGGTTGACAGCATATTGTGCAAGAGAGGATCTGAGTAGAATGCTGAGTAAAACAGCTGCTATGGTTAGGCTATTCATTTCAGCGTGGAATCGATGCCTGATGGGCTTCAATGTTGTTCTCCTGCCGTATGGTTATTGTGAGCTGGGTTGTTGAGGCATCAAAGTCTGAAATTGTGGAAGGCGGCGTCTGTGTCAACAGTAGGCGATGGAATATCTGAAATTCAGGGAAGCAGCGATGTCAGCTTGAAGCAGGAAAGGCACGAGGGTGCCCAGGCCATATAGCCTATCCTAGGCTGTCAAAGACCCGAACATGAATCGTTAGAGCCAGGACGTACCCCAGATGTCCAGAACGTTTGCTAGCTACCTACCTTATGCATCAGAAAAGAAAACAATTTAAAATCAGGCCAATGCGACACCCGAAGACCAACATGTTGCGGAGGATCAGAGCTGAGACCTTGACATAATTTTCCGAACCCTGATTGATCCGTTAATAGAATCCCGGAGTCCAGAAGGAGTAGGAGCGACTGCTGTGGACAATGGGATTCAAGTAGGATTCGAGGAGTTGTGGATTTTGTAGCCCAAATCCCAGGCCCAGATTCTGATAACAACGGGTGAACTGCGGTGCAGTCAGATAGTATTGGCATATTGGAGTTGGCTGTATTTCATGTCTAGGTCAGCTCGCATATAAAGCATTTTCAGTCAGCCAGTGTCTTCCATATGCACTCTACTTCTATTTCTACGGAAATAAGTCCTACGTTAGATCTGGAATTGATCCTTGCTCACAGAAGTATCCTTATTTTGACACATCAGTCAAGTTTCTCTCATGACCATAAGATGGGGAGTCAGGGTAAAAGCAAGGATCTCCCCTAAAGGCTTAATATCAAGCCCTGGATAGCGGTACGCCGCAGTATGATGAGGAGCGTCTCCATCTACTTTCAAGCTTGGGATACTTTTTCTGCCAGGAGTCGCGAGAACAACAAAAACGCAAAATACCAGGAGCTTCCACCCACATAGCAGGGTAATGGCTGGAGCTTCGGGTATTTTTGTCGTATATATATGGACAGCGAAAAACGCCCATTGCTGGACCTCCCCTGCCCAGGTACTCATGTGACACAAGTGGTCCGATGACGATCGCTGTGCTACCTTCCCAGGATCTTGAAAGATACAATCTTGCTGATTTCTGTGGGACCTGCGTTGTGGATGAATTACTTGCAATGCATACGCTCTCGTGTTTGGTCAGCATGTCAGTCATCAAGCAGGCTTAGATGGTTCCAATGAGCTACAGTGACAACAAGAACAAACGGCATGTGTGCATAGCGGAGATATCGTTTCTCCATCCAGAGGTGGCTGGCCTTGTTCTCGGCCCTATCACAACAATGAGAAAGAGAATACAATGAAAGACTCCTCGGGTGAAGGAAAGCAATGCAAGTGAGGTTTTCGTTGTAGTCAACTCAACTTGGAGCCTTTGACTATCTATCTAGCTGGACACATTCAGAAAGACAAGATATGACTAGTAATGAGAGGGGCAGTATGTTTCTTATGCTCATTTTTCAGGGTGCACTCCATTACTCCACGGAGCATTTGTTGAGGGAGATGTCGTGCTTAGCTTGACATACGATGTTTGGCGAACGCGAGGTATGGTATTTTGCAGGTTTTAAGGCAGTCTGAGTGTATGATCTAGTCTGCTGAAGTGCTTACTGTCATTCTTCAAATCAGAATCATTCAATCAGAATCATTTAATTAGAGTTATTTAATCAGAGTCATTCAATCAGAAGCATTCAATAAGAGTCATTCAATCAGAGTCATTCAATCAGAAGCATTCAATCAGAAGCATTCAATCAGAAGCATTTAATCAGAAGCATTCAATCAGAAGCATTTAATCAGAAGTATTTAATCAGAAGCATTTAATCAGAAGCATTCAATCAGAAGCATTTAATCAGAAGCATTCAATCAGAATCAGAAGCAGTCTGCGATACCACTATCATTCGCTCGAGTATTCTCCTAGAGTAGAGTGCAAAGACCAGGGCCCCACATTGATAAGAGGGAAGCTTATCCGCGTCACAACACAACCGCAAGGCGGTGGCGGATCCCTCGGTGGCACTGCTCCGTCTCCATAGAACACCCCCGCAATCAACTTATTTCCCCGACAACTATATCACACTTCACTCTTCACTCAATTGATCCCAGACAATCTTTCTTTCATCTGTGCTCAAGCCTATCCAATCCCCAGTACCTCCTCAACCCACCCCAGCCCAGACAACCAAATCCCTCCTCCATCAACCCCAGCAACAATGCACCCCCCACTCCGCATTGCCATCCTAGAATGCGACACCCCCGTCGACAAAGTAAACACCAAGTACGGAGGCTACCGCGGCGTCTTCGCGAAACTACTGCATGAGAGCGCCGCCGCCCTCGGCCAGCCCGACCGACTGGATCCCGAGACCGGGCTGGACATTACCGGCTGGGACGTTGTGACGGCGCAGGAGTATCCGAACCTGGACGATGTAGATGCCATCGTTCTGAGTGGCTCAAGTGAGTTGTCTGCTTGCTGCCTTGCCCATTTTGCCTTTTTACCCGGATTGTTGTTGTTCTGGTATGCTGCGACCACTATCCATCTGCATGTACATCCTGCACGGAACAAAGATGCAACCCCCCCTCCCCCGTCCCGGCCTTTGCAAAAGTCCAAATGACTCACATCCAAACCCCGGCTCATCAACCCCCCCCCCACCCCCACAGAACACGACTCGTTCGCCGACCACCCCTGGATCCTCAAGCTCGTGGACTTCACGCGAAAAGCCTACGAGGACAAGCGCGTCAAGATCTTCGCCATCTGCTTCGGGCACCAGATCCTCGCCCGCGCGTTGGGCGTCAAGGTGGGCCGGAACCCCGAGGGCTGGGAGCTGGCCGTCTGCGAGGTGGATCTCTCCGAGCAGGGGCGGGAACTTTTTGGGAGGGAGAAATTGGTAAGTCTGACGGCCTGTCCCCAATCTCACATGAGAGGAAGGGGGGCAAGTTGATGGTTTACTAAGGAACTGGGCTGCTAGCGCATCCACCAAATGCACCAAGACATCGCCTACGGATATCCATCCGAGGTGATCTCGCTGGGCTCCTCGCCGCGGTGCGCGGTGCAGGGCATGTATATCCCCGGAAAACTGATCACGGTGCAGGGCCACCCGGAGTTCCGGGAGGACATCATGGATGAGCTGATCACCCTGCGCACGGCGAGTGGGTTGTTCTCGCCGGAGATGTCCAAGGACGCGTCCGGTCGGGTTGGGCTGCCGCATGATGGGGTGGCGATCACGGTGGCCTTTTTGAAGCTCGTAATTGAGTCGAGGTGATCCCCAACTTGGCCGGTTAGATAGATCGCAGCCCGCCCATTTAGACTCGAATTCGGGCGTGGTGAACTTGCAATACATAGATTTGAATAGATCGTGCCTATAGACTGGCTTTATCTCCGTACAGCCGAAATTCAACTGATCGAATTTTCAACCCCGACAAAAAGTCCAGGTAAAATGGTATCATTTGCAATACACAAAAAGCGTGGTATCAAGCGCATGCACAAACCCACCCCCCCTCACCTCTACCCCCGAGCCAAAAGATCATTTCCCTTATCGAGTTACAAAACCCCCCACAGACAACGCAGGCATCTCACCCCGTCGCCGTGGGATCCTCCCTCTCCAAGAACGAGGGATCCATATCCACCCGCCTCTCAAACTTCTTCCACCAATCCTGAAAACTCTTGAGCGGCACCACATCCTGGCCCTTATCCGACGACGCAAAGCTCGCCAGGAAATTGAAGGCGTTCCCGATGATGCGCTGCGCCAGGACCTTGGTGCTGATCGGGGGTCGCGCGGGGGTCGTCGTCAGCGCCATTGACGACCCCGGGTTGTGATTCTCCTCGGCCTCCAGCGCGGCGAGCTGCGGCGCGACCGCGTGCACGGGCTCGATCGAGATCCCCAGCGTGACCAGCGCGGACGACAGCGAGGCCGCCGTTTCCGGGGACGGCGGGCGGACTTTGAAGATGGCGGAGGGCCGTTCGTTGGCTAAGGCGCCGATGAAGCGGAACTGCGGGGCCGGTGAGGATGATGCTGCTGCTGATGATCCGACCGACTCCGGGAATTGGAGGTAGATGGCGGCGGCGGTGTCCGGGGGCAGCACGGTGCCCGGCAGGAAGAAGACGACCAGCTCGTCGAAGGCGGGCGTCTGCGGGAAGGTGAAGGCGAATTTGGTGGGTTGGCCGTTCGGTTGCGCGTCGACGGCGACGATGTCCGTCAGGCAGGGTCGGCCCGGGATGATGACGGAAAACATGATGATGGCTTGGGGAGATGATGTTGTTGATGAGTGGCGGCGGATTGGAGGGACAGAGGCATAGAAGGTTTGCGGAGTGGGAGTATTAAATGTCAAATGTACAGGCCGTGCCGAGACAGCGATCTCGAGGGGTAGTTCAATGCATAATTTATCGACTGCTGGACTTGGAACTCAGGTGGTGCAGTGTAGGAAGAATTTCCTGGCGCGTTCCATGATGGAATCGCAAAGAAGCTTGGCGGCAGTGACGAAATCGAGCCGTATGCCCTTATCGATAAGGGTTCGTTTGCTTGGCCTTAGCCTTCTGGCAAGTCTTGCAGTTCCCCGGGGTCCGCCTTTGCCAGTTGGCCCAATAAAGGGATCATTCAAATAGATTGAAAAGTATACCTACCTTGTATGTCATATGGCACTGCTATCTCGCATCAGATTGATGTGAGGCTCCCTTTTCGAGGTCCGACAATAGTAAGTGTTATCAAAAGAATTCTCACAGTGCCTTCGACATACTTGACATCAAGTATACTCAGGTCGGAACCCCTTCCGTCCCCTGTTTGTTGAGATCTACCCACCGTACCCAATGGTATGAAGGACATCTTGTTCTTAAGAAAGACCGAGAAACTGTCGCGAAAATGGCCTTTTCTTGTTTAAAGCTAGAGGCAGGGAGTTCTCGATCAGCCAATCGCTCTTTCCCTACAGCGAAGTTACTGCTTGCCTCCTACTACGAGGTAGGTATACATAAGCACTAAGATCCCTGTCCACGCCAAACTACCTACTAATCCAGCACTGCCTCCTCATTTTGCTCTTTCTGCCTGATAAGGCTGGGACTTGCGTGCGCAGCCCACTGGCAAATCATCCCCATGTATTAGATCGGCAGCGATCACCAGACCAGACTGGTCGTTTGTAGCGCACGGTTAGCACTGCGAGACCTTTCTCTCCAATGACTTACAAGAATCAGGGTTCTGCTCTGGGAGAACGACCTTATATGCAGTGCTAGTGCAACTAGGATCCCGCACAACTAACCTTTTTCAGACTAAGGTGTGACAATGAGAAAGAGTTCTTTCACGGAGGAAGTATGCAGAGTACATAAACTAGCTGCTTTCCAATTGTCAGCCTTGTTTGTCCCTCTCCCCTTAGAGCCCACACTAGAACTTTTCCAACTCCCAGTCTCTCTATCCCCATCACCCGGCTTCTCTCCTGGAAACTTAGCGATGCCACCGAGCGGACTTGACGAATGGCGGTCGGCCAGGTCATCGAAACCTGGGCCTTTTCCCTTCCGCCAACCCCCGCCTTTCCAAGATACATGTCCGTGACTCACACTCGGTCCACCTTACAAAAGGTCCATATCGATGGAGCCGACTTGCAATGCTTGGACCCGGAAAGCAAAGCAGGGGACTTTATAGCGCTGAAGCCAGAGCAAGAATGTGTTGTAATCATGAGTGCTTGTCCGATGGATTTGAGCGTCTGTAACGAGGACGAGCCTAGCAGCGCGAAATTCGACGTTAGTTCAGCTGGGATGTTTAGTTTCTGGTTCTTTCAACTTTCACAATGCAGACATTCAAGGCTAGGCCGCAAGCTTGTTCGTCTCAGTCGCCAGCAAAGACCAATACATAATGTAATGCAGTCTCGTGAATAAATCCATAAATTTGGATATCTGTGCAAGTATTTGAGTGTTAGCCCTGTGTGCTGGAAATAATCATTCTTTCCCTTTACTTCAATGTTTTCAATACATTTTTCAAGAAAGTAATCAAGGGGCGCTTGGGCGAATAGGATAGGAGGTGAAAATGCTGTCTGGGATTCTGGTCTTCTCTTCTAGGACTATTTAACTTGCCTCCTTACTAAGATGCATGCAGCCCCCGGCTGCACTACAAGTGCCATTTGATGTTCTTCCCGAATTTGAATGTTCTAGTTTGTAGTGTCACAATGACCACTCATTTGAATTCCTGTCATACGAGGGCTCCGTTTTTAAAAGTCGCATTAAGCTCAGTCCATTTTGAAATAGAGCATCCAGGGCCTCTTTTCTTTTCATCTTTTTTTTTCCCATAACAGCACCTCACGTTCTCAGAAGGCTGTTTGAATTCCAGTAGAAAGCATGCTTTCCGGACAAAAGCCTCCAAGAGCGAGTTCGAAATAGCCATTCAGACAAGTATAGCGTGTCACTAAACTGATGTAGCATTAGAATATGACTCCATCAAGTCATTTCGCACGAATAGTGCTGCGCGGGTGCCCTCTTCAATGGCTCCATCACTAAAGCTTCGCCAGCCCAATGCCCAGTCAGAATTCGAGAAGTAGATATTTCTTTGCTTCGAACGCATGTCGGCAAGATGCTTCGAAAGGAGACCAGGACCAGGAAAAGACCTATGGATGTTACTCAAGATGTTCATTTGATACGAATGAGATCATACCATGCTCCTTTAGCGAATTCATCCTTTGACCAATTATGAAAGACCTGTAATCGTTAGGACCCATCTGCGAGGTAAAGAGGGGTGGCTTACAATCTTCTTGATATCCATAGGTATCAGGCTTCCGAGAGCTTTGATTGTCACCTGGATGTCCTCCTCTGGATGGAAGTGGCGATGTTGGCCCCCAAAACTGACGATATGCGTGTTCCCTGCTGGTGTTCTGCCATCACCGAACGCAACGAAAAGTTCGTGTTGAGGGTAACTGATACCTGTGTAAGAGCGCAAGTTTCTGTCCCCTACTTCAGCATGCACTTTGACAATCTGGTTATTATGACCGACGCAGGCAGCCGTCTTTCTTCCTCCTGACAGAGGTGGATTGAAAGTGACAGAACTCAGGACATTTAAAGGGACGGTGCTGATTATCCTCTTTGCCTTGTATCGCTGGCCATCACGGGTTTTCACTGTGACGAGACTCCCGGTGTCATCAACGCTACTCACTGCGGAGTTGAAAGCGTAGGACAGATTATTGGTGGCAACAGCTTCTTCGAAGAACTTCGTGGCGAAGGCTGATTGCCCGTGCTTGAATTTATACCGTGCCAAGTAGTTCACACAGCCCTCGTAGGAATAACCACTGAGCGCCCACCAGTGCAATAGCTCAAGAAAGCTCACCGTCTCAAGCGTGCCACCGCTGCACACAAGGATCCAAGCCTCAATACCAAGGCGTTCATTCAGAGTAAGAGAATCTTCAATGTCTGAAATACGATCTGCAGCAGTCATTTGGTCGAGTGCAACAGCCTCGCTTGTGAATTCAGCTGAGTGTGGGAAGGGCAGAACCCGTTTCCCCAATTGTCCGTCAACGTTGAATAGCTTGCGGAGACCGGAATCCATGATCGCAAACTGTAGTGTTTCGTTGTTATTTGTTATTTCCAAAGATGCTCGGGGACGGACAGGCTCCTGCTGGTAGAGAGCGGTATGCTTACCTCCTCATCATGGCTAAACCGCTGTGTTTTATGAGAACTGGCCTGGACGTACTGGTTTATTCCCTCTCGGAAGTCCTGCGATATCTCGATCTCGTCGTGCAGTTGATACCGCATAATCTCGCGCCAGACATTAGCTTGGCCCCAATAAATCCATGTGCCTCCCATTTCAAACGGGTAACCCCCAATATCCGACGACCATGATCGGCCGCCGATACGATCTCGTCCCTCTAACAAAAGGACCTTTAGGTCTAGAATGAGTTAGGGAGATGGTGATATCCTGAGTGTGGTGCTGTCATACCAGCAAGGCACATATTTCTCGCCGCAGTTAGCCCGCAGTAGCCCGCTCCGATGACAATGACATCGAGAACAGGGCACTTGGCGCCATCGAAATTCTGGGAGGGCCGGACAGCTCCAACACACGGTATACCTGTGTTTAACCCTCGATCGGGAGTCCATAAGTAACCATCTTTGGTAGTCATTGCAAAAGTGATATCATTCGTCTCGTGTCTAAGATACTGTTCAGAGTGATCGAAGTAGGCCTCACGGGGTGCCCCGGATGTCCGAGGATGTGACATTTCAAGGCGCTAGGTCAATCTCAGGATTATAATCCGCCAAGCCTCCCACTCCATTATCCCATCTCACACCCGCACTTCCATCCACGTGGGCATACACACCCCGCTGCCTCCCTGTGAAAGCCAGTATGACATCACCTTGTGGTCAAGGTTTTGAGAGAGGTCGTGAGACTGTGGGGCTAGGTTTTCCTGTCTACCAAAATACCAAAGGCCCCACCGAGAAACTTGGTCCATCCGATATCTAAGATCATTCCAAAGAGTGGGCTAGATGTGACCGGAACCGGTTTGAGTTATGAGTGTATAAAGATTTCAATCGGAAGGTGGATACCCATAAAACAGATGTACTACATAGTATGTGTATTCTTGCAATGCCTATCCAATAATGACAGACTTCAAGGGTGCGCGGGTACTGAAGATCCTGTAGCAGACCCACTGCCTCACCTAGTACTCCGTACACACCTGAACCCCCAGGATCTTGGACGGAGGTCTCCGAGCCTTGGCGTTTTACTTAATCCGCTAGATGACCCTGAATATGCTTGAATTTCTATCTAACTATCTGATCCTCGCCAAATTATATACAGAAATAAGTCAGATATCGCTTGTGGGTGATGATCCCTACCTTATAAAAATAACAAGCAAGGCGCTGGAGCTAGAGCCTTACGAATCCGGCTTCCATTAAATTTTGTGCAGGCTTGGTGGATAATCTAACCTTCTGGGCCTCGCATGTTGCTGTTCACTAAATTTTCTGTGGTCCCCTCGGCTGGAGATCTCATTCTTACTTAATTAACAGGATGATTCCGCCGTTTCTGGCGTTGCTAATAATTCTGGATATAGAGACAAGGCGATCGGGCAGACCGCGAGAATCGGGGGCACTTCCGGTGTAGCTAAATGGTATCCAACATTCGTATGGTAAATACATACTAAGCCTGGCTGGGAAAGAGGGGGTGGTCTGTTCAATAGTTCCCAGATATCAGCTATTGTCGTAACAAATACTCGAATAACAACTTTGAGGACTGAAGTGGGGAAAGGTTCCAAGTAAACAGCAATGAAGTACTATGCAATACTATGTGCGAACTCCCTTGAAGTATGTTGTATGATGCAAATTCCGAAATAATCATTTTCCTCATTGCTCACAAAAGATGCAAATAAGTGGGGAGCTGCCTTGACACGTTGTTCTGTACCACAAAATCTGGGCCCTCGATGCCTATCTCGATTGATGAATAGCTAGCCATGTATCCATCAGATAATTCAAATGTCCTTTGGTCTTTATCCAACTAACTCCCACTGAGAAACTAGATTTCAGTATTAGATACAATCAACTGGCTATGGCCCTCCAGATTGAGCCACTGATATCCAGGCCAAATCAGCTATCCAAGAGATTATCAGATGATCTTGGTCGGTTCACCGGGAGTAACCCAATGAACCTTGTCACTGATTCCTGATAGCTCGAAGTCATGCATCACGCCTTCCTTTGCTTCCGGGAAGTGGTTAAAGGAGCTATAGTGCAAGGGCACGAGAACCTCTGCGCCCACGTCTTGGAATGTCTGAGCCACCTCAGTGCCATTCATGGTAATCCGGAGCGGCGTCGCATCATCCATGAGAACGTATGCTGCACCCATGTTGATGAGAGCAGCTTTGACATGGAATCTTTCTTTGATCTGCGCCAAGCCTGGAAGGTAGATGGTATCACCGGAGTACCAAATTGCATTTGGAAGGCCGTCAGTAGTCCCGAAGTCGGGACCAACAATGACAAACCCGGTCACATCCTCACCGGGTACGTGCTCGCATGGTGTCCCTGTAAAGTTCCAATCATTCCCATTCAATTTCAGGCTCATTGTTTCCCAGTCCTTCATAGCCTGCGCTCCTGGCCTTGGCTTCAGAGCTTCGGTACCAGCAGGAGTCGTCAGGACACGACGACCATCGAGGAACCTCATTCGGGAGATAGGGTCAAGGTTGTCAGGGTGGTCCTCGTGGCTGAGGAGGACAGCATCGATGGGAGGGATTTGCTCTGGCTGCAAGGCCGGCTCCAAAATAGACCAAAGCTGTCTGGTAAAGCCAGCAATGGGAAATGTAGTGTTCTGAGGCGAGAAGAAGGGATCGACGAGAAAGTTGACGCCGTTTATCTCAAGAACGGAGGCAGCGTTGATAATATGGGTGATGTTGAAATTAATGTTTCCACCCGGTTCTGGTCCGTCGGGCAAAGGAGAACCGGAAACATGAGTTGCAGCTGCGAGCACACTGGCAACGATCAAACGGCGAATAGGAGACATTTTCATTCTTGAATGTAGAGCTTCAAAGAGGATGAGATGAGAGAAATCGAATGATCATGCTGGGAGAGACGCAGGCAAAGGTATTTATAATTTCTGTTCGCATAGTTGACATATGCGAGGCCAAGGCCAAGACCGTAAGGTGACCAATCCGGTGCCAAGATCTCTGGGTTAGCTTTTACATAGTACCTAACTTCATGTCATTAACTACTACCTAGTAGTTAGTAAACCTAATGCCATCGGCATCCCGCATTGCGGGTAGGTTGTGTCCTCCGCGCGGCAATACGCTGCTTGATAGCATAATCCATTTGTCAAGTAAAGCTCTGAAAAGAAAAGTTTTATGAGCCCTGATCTTATGGCCTTCCAAGCGTGGCCGAGTCCAGAGTATATTCCGCCAACTTCCGATGAGCTTCCCAGACTCGACTCCAACTTGGAGGAACGATCACTGGCGTGAAACCACTGGTTCTGCTGGCCATTCCTTAGCGCCTGGGTAGTGAGTAGGTGGGAAAGGCACCTTCTCAATTCCTGCTCGCGAAATATTTCTTTCTTTTGAGAAAAGTTCTGCCGAGAACGTTTGTGATAATACTAATGTAGCTCCTGCTTATGTAGCATGGAAATCCGGTTGAATCGATCGTTTGATTACTACGTACATAGTGGTTTGTATACACTGTAGACTCGGCCTCGCTAGGCCATAAAAGCTTGACTCCATGCTTAGCACGACGGAGTAACCTCAACCTAGGGAATGAACCAATCGTGCACTGTAACCGTTTCGACTGCCTCGGGTGGTGACTGGGATGCTAACTTAGCACTCAAACCCAAATGAGCCACCCGGGGCAGTGGCAATCAACCGAGCCTGAACAATATACGGAGTAGGCCGGCAGAAAAGATCCGAGTCACCGCGCTAAAGGCATTGAGTAGAGCTTATCATTAGTTATGACCTGTGGCACTAACTAGGTGGGATACCGAGCAAATCACCATTTGCCACCAAAATCCATACTTACACTACGCTGTACACGCAACTTGTCGATGTTCCTTCGGACCGGTTTGACAGAGTGGGGCCCTCCGAGTCCCGCCAGCCGCCCTTTTCCTAATCCAGTTAGATTTCCCGCCAAGACTAGATTTCCATCAAATTTCATTAGTACAAGTGTATAGAAGCATGCTGAATGCGTTTGCACGTTGCGGACGCACCTTGATCTTAGGTGAAAATCCCAATCTCTATGGCAAGTTTCCTTTCTTGATCAATGGTGGTCAAATCGGTATGTAATGGCTCAAAGCGACACACTATCTTTCTTATGCGGGTAAGCTTGGCTACATTTCAAACATTTGATTTACATGGTAGGTTGTGGTTCTTATTGTAATATTGGAATACCAGTCCCGATGTTGGATGAAACTACTGCATCTACCGGCGGAGATAATTGAACTTGTGAATTTCTCGCTATTCCAGCTTCAACTTTTCCCTTTTCCGAAGATTCATTTTACAGGTTGCATTTTATGTCGAGATTGTTGCCTTGGCTCGTCCGTTTTCCCATACCAGACATTCGCCATCTTTAGCAAAATTGATCAAACTGTCTAATAGCTCATATACCCAATATGTGCGTCAAATCGATTTTGGGTACGGTCCATTCCCATATCCGACAGGAGATGTCACCTTGGGTACGCTGAAAACCTGGCCGGCGTGCTGTCTTCGTCTCTTCGTCAATTTCCCAATGTCAAAGCTATCTACTTCCGTGGCCCTCCGCCACAGTCGCTACCTCACGGTACGACGAGAGCATTGACTGAGTTGATACTCAGGTCGTTGTGCTATGTGCCTCTCCCTCATTCGACTGAACTCGAAGTTCGGTTACCGATGACCAATGATTCTGCGATATTTAGTCAAACTAAAAGGGTCCTCCTTTTTGGTCTAGTGGAAAAAGTCCAACATATTTCATGAGATCACGTGACACCAAAAGGCATCACTTGCATCCATATCCTACGTCTAACCTCTCAACCATGCACACCTTCTCCCACCCACACATACTATCACACACCTGTAGGCACACCTCTTATTCATTCTCTCGCGCCTCACTGAGAGTATAAATTTCTTTCCCTAGAAAATCATTGTTTCTTTTTCTCACTAACAGTTCTGATTTTTCTGTCGTATCGATGCCTCATTGGGGCAATGTGATGTCATGAAGATAAGGCAAAAGTCGGTTTGCGATAACTGTCGGAGGCGTAAGCTGGGAGTAAGCGTACTGCTGGAGAGTCTCATTTTAGGAATATGAGCTAATGCAGGTCTCTGTCGCAGTGTGATGGAATGCGTCCGGAATGCACGCAGTGCAAATGGAGCCAACAAGCCTGCCCTGGCTACCCCGATCCATGGACTTTTATGCCACCTCAGGTATCGGGGTCACGAGATGCCCAATATAATCTCAGCTCAGCGGACCTCGCAGCAAAGCCAGCCTCGATAATAGATACTGGGCTGTCTAACGCAAACGACATCCAGCCAGACCATCGAGAGCATCCAAATATCGTCACAAAGCCACCTTGTGAAGATTCATCGGGCAATGACTTCGACAGATATGTGGCTCGCATAATTGAATGCTATATGCCGGTCGAGGGGCAAGGCCGGGCAGACAGCAACCCTGTCGATAGCCAGCCACGAATATGTGGTTCATGGGTTGAAGTGATGCCCAAGATGAAAAATGACAGACATCCAGAAAACACCATGGAGTTAGCTGTCAGAGCCTTTGCTCTCTCTCTTGATCAGACTGGACAGGACACTTCGACCGCGTACCGAAATATTTTCCATGCCTACGAATGTGCTCTTGGGAGCCTGCGGCGTCACCTAGCTCGGCCGGCATGTCAATTTCAAGCAGATATCGCCATTGCTATAATGTGTCTTGGCTTGGCAGAGGTTCGATTCTTTCTCAAATCTACGGCGATTCTTATATGAAGCCAACACGTGATTAGCTGATGATCCCGGAAACTCCTACCGGATTGACACCCCATATTAGAGGAGTTGGGAGCCTAATCTGTGCCGAAGGACCACAAGCCTTTCAACGCGACATATTTCATAAGCTCTACGTTGGCTATGTGCCTCTCTTGGTATATCCACCTTTCAATCGAACACTTGGATTTTATTGCTGATTTTTGTCTGTGAACCAGATCATCGACTGTTTTCTATCACGTAAGCCCATGTTCATCGCAGAGAGAAATTGGCAGCACGAGCCGTTCACTTTGAACATGCCATCACCAATACAGAAGCTTTTGTGTAAAGCTTCGGCCATCCCGACCTTGTTGTCCAACGTCGATCAGTTCAAGGCCGAGAGTCAGGATAGCAGCTTGGCCGAGGAGAATGTTCTCAATGCAAGAGCTCTCAAATTCTCCTTTGTCTCGGCCCTGACAAACTTGAATGAAATGGAAAATGAACTGACATCCCAAGGGCATCGACCTTGCCAGCCACCTCCTTTGAATTCTAAGTCTGTGGAGTCTAAGCACCTGGACCGCGTTCTCTGGTTCCCAGGTATTACAAGTGCAAACGCACTGGTTTATCTTTGGACATTCAAAATTATCTGCATGACTGAGCTCCGCGAGCTAGCAGAATTTTCCGCTCCTCGGCATATTGAGGACGAAATCTGTTCTCGCGACCTATCTCCGGCTTCGCTTGAACACCAAATCAATGAGCTAGCCGTTTTGATTTGTCAGAGTATGGAATACTGCATCCAGGATGAAATGGCCCTTTATGGACCGGCGTCTGCCATCTACCCCCTTCGGATTGCTCATAAAATTCTGAAGTCGGCTACGAACTACGGCGCACATGTGACTTACATTGAATGGATTGTGGAGCGTCTTGTCTCCAAAGGCCTTCGTGCAACGCCCTATATAGTCTTTTGCTCTTGACTTCAACCTGTAATTAGGCTGAATGGCGCACAAATAAGTCTCATTTCAATTCAAACTTTCCAATGACTTGGTCAGACGAGTTACGTCTAGACTCACCAAGTGGCTCTGACTGGGAATAATGCGAGTCCGGGTAGACCACTGCTTCCAGTTCGTCGTAGTGAAAGAGTCCACACGGTTCGCATGTGTTCATGCACATTGATTTATATCTGTCGGTTAAGCAGGACGACGCTATTTGGTTCAATAAGCACCGAGATGACTTGCCTCAATGACTCTGTTTGAAATACGCTTCTCATGGATGAGCAGGTTTTTTGGATATACATACATAGCGTTCCGAAAGTCTGCCCACACCACCCATTTTACACGAAAACTGGCACTTTTCAAGGCAAAATACATCTTCAACCTTATGTGATAAAATACCTTTATTTTTCAACATATAATCAAAATATTACTAATTATAATATGAAACCTCTGTTTGATTTTTCAAACTTTTCCTGATGGCATGATCGTCGCTTAAAAATATTATAAAAAGTTGAAGTAAGTGGATGTGAGATGATGGTTGAAGAGACATGTCAACTTGACGCTTGACCTCCTCTCTATTCTCGTCCCTCTGCAAACGCTAAGGTACCACCGGGCGTGCAGCGGCTTCTAGGTCAAGGCTGCCGATGGCTTCTTCATTTAAGCGAGTACTGTCGCTTACTGGCAGCCACTTTTGCCTTCCCCTAAGATGCTAGTCATATTGCCTTTCTGGATCAGCGCAGGGATATCTCCTCAGTCTTGCTTCACTCACCTCCTATAACAATTCTTTAATCAGCCACTAATTCAAGTGCGGAACTGCCTTCAGGTCAAGGTAGGATCACTTACCATAGTGGTAAGTGGACTTGTGCTCATGTAAGGCCTGTAGGAAAGAAGAAGTAGTTACTGGTTACTGGTGATACTGATCCAAAAGGAGGTCTACTATCATGGGAAGGCTGGACGAGGCCCAGCCAACCAGCCGCTCTTGATCATTGGTATCTTTGCTGAGGTCTATCTTCTGGACGAGAAAACCATCCGCAAATCACCTCCTACTGAAAGTGAAGAAGACATGCAACCGATCATCCGCGAAGCTATGATCTACGACATAATTGGCGTTCATCCGCGGATCACGGAGTGCACAGCGCTTAGTAGGCAGTGGGAAGGTTAAGTATATTGATCTCAAATACTACCGACACGGCGACCTTGCAACGTATTGCCAAAAGAATAGCATCACTCCTGCACTGCAGGCAAAATGGTGCCAGCAGATTCTGGAAGCCGTTGTCGTCATCCAGTCGTTTGGTGTCATTCATTCGAACTTGGCGCTACGGCAATTCTTTGTCGACGATACCCTCGATCTACATTTGGGTGATTTCAACTCCTTTCAGTGCACCCGATACCCGCCTCTGGGCTACGAGAAAGCATCCCATTGCCTATCTCGGGACTATGAGCTTGATATTCTTGTTTTGGGGTCCACTCTTTGTGAATTAGTCGCTGGCAGAGCTCCTTACAGCGAACTGAATCCTATTGAATCCGATGACCCGGATTCCATCAAGGCACAGATCCGGCGGCAACACGCGGTGGTGGATTTTGAGATTGAAGACCGAATAGGAAACAGCAATTTCCGGATGTTGCGGAGGTCCGACGTGGAGATATTATACTAGGTTACTGGAAAGAATAGTTTGCCACAGTACAGGAGGCGCTTGATCTATACCTACAAGCATGAATTCTAGAACTGCTGATTTTGACGACGCTCGAAGAACGATCAGAACCTCTCACTATCTGAAGTCTGATGCCAAAAGACCCGGAGGTTCCAGACGGTAACACATAGCGCAGTCCTAAACTAGCATATGGACAGGCAGTAGGTTAGTAGTAAAATCACTTCTACGCTAGTCCTCTCCACTGCCTCTCGACATAGGCACGATTGGCAGACAGATGATTCGTATGCCACATGATTCCTCTCGCCAAATAGATCTGGCTGGGAACAACATAGGTAAAATTCAGTACCGTTGCTCCAAATACTAATGAAGGTCATCAGCCTTCCGTGTGTTGGCCTAGAGATTATAAGTATAAGCAGAGAAGATTGTGGATTTAATCAGGTTCAACCACAGTACACAGAAACCCAATAATAAGAGCGCGATCCTTCCTCAAACCCAGACCCCATGACCCAACTCCTAATGGTGTGGCAAACTGTCCACGAGGTCCGGAAGCAGTCATGCAGCTATCTCCTGCCCCAAAACCACTTGATCTACAAGATCTCATTTCAAATCTCAATTTTTGAAGAAAAAGGTAGAAAGGACAAAAGCTGCATGCCATCCCTCTGCACCGTACCCATTCCAAGAACAAGAAGAACCTCAAACCATGTTGAGTTCCTCCACCTGCGTGACATCCTCAACAAACGTAGCGCCATACTCCTTCATAATCTGTATCTTCTCCTCCATATTCATCGCCAAATTCATCCTCCCAAAGTCGTCCGGCAGTTCGTTGGCACTCGCGAACCGCAACACCCACACCCCCACTCCATCCGCTGGCCAACCGTACACGATCACCTTCTCTTCTTCCTCCGTCATCTGCCTCAATCCCATCTGTACTTCGAGCCAGTCCTGCTTGCTCGGCCAGAACGTCGCGCCGGTCCGTCGCAGAAGGTTACAGAACGGTCTTCTTCCTCAGCACTGGGTGAGCGCTGCGAGACATGAGAGCGCGGGAGCGACAGGAAAAGCATGTCAAGGAGGTCGGCTTCTTTGATGAGAACGCCGCCGGTGGAGGGGTAGCCGTAGACCGTGCACCCGAGGGTGCCGAAGCGGGTGCGTTCGGTCGTCGATCGGGCAGGGCCTGCGGGGCATGAGTAGACCCGGTCCTGTGGGTCGTCTTTTGCTGTTCGTTGCCCGAAGAAAGAGAGACGGTCCTCGTTGATGGGAAATAGGCGGCCCATGGTTTGGTGGCAGAGAGTTGTTAGGAAGGTGGGGGTGATGGCTGCAAGCATGACGCTAGTCCTCATGTTTCGGTATGGGATTGATCGAAGGGTTCGGGACCGCTAGGAGAACAAGGGTATCCATCCGTATGTCAGATGCTTGGTAAAGAAGGGCATGAAGTAAACATATCTGTTAGTGGGCTCCAAGTACTATACCCCACGGACTAGTGATCGTAGCCCCTGCGGTGATGATACACATCAATCAGGTCACTTGGTTCCAAATTTAGGGATTCGGAGCGAAGCGCCCTCTTCTGCGGTAAGAGAATTCGTACAGCATAGGCATCCAGCTGAAACAGCTTCTTAAGGCCGTCGTCAGAAGCCGAGTGCCCAGGAAGTGAGTTAGGCACCGTCGGCTGGTAGTGATCCTTCGAAAGACATAGATAAATTGATCCCCACCCCTTTAGACCCTTCGGAAAACGCTGGGGTGAGGACATCCCCTTAGTAGTGTAGGAAGAGTCTAGATCGATCTAAACTGGTATCGTTGCCCTTAGCGCTTACAATATCTGGGAATGAGATGCGGATGATATTCCTTCCAGGGACTATTTCTGCGGTTAGTTGATTAGTACTGTAGTTAGCAACTAATTTACGCGCGCTGTCACGTCCAACGAGAGACCCTGATTGACAGCCGTCCCTAGCCCACAGCGCTACTCTGGGGAAATTGGAGTCGAATGCACTGCCCATCCTCCCCTCCGAGCTATCCGACTCGCTCCTCTAAAGGTGTACTGTAGTAGACCTTGGTGATTTTATTAGTACAGTGGACAGATGTAAGATTTCAAATCCTTGAAGGGTATAGACAAGCCCGCGAATCATGCATGTCCGCCAAGTAGGGTTTTCACGAGGTAGATACAAAAGCGTCTAAAACAAACCTTGCATGCTACTGACACACCCAATTACTAGCATGTTATAAGCGGAAATTACAGGATGTTGTGAGAGACGCATTCCAAGTATCCTAATGCAGCCTTCCCTCTAACCACTGTGTCAACTTCATAGCAAACAGGCACGTATTATCTTGATCTCCAGCTCGCGCATCGACCTTGAAAGTCCACATACCACTCCTCAAAAACATTGTAAGGAACTGGAAATCGAGTAAAATATCACTGCGGCCGCTGCTGGCCATATAGTCAACCTGAACTCCAGAGGTATTGCGAATCGTAAGATGGGCCAGATCATCAAAGGGTGTAGTCCTTAGTGGTCCTGTGGCAGAGTCTTCGTTGTCGATACTACCATCTGGGTAGACAGCAGAGGCGCTCACTTTAAGGGTTGCATTGATGAGGCCTTCGTCGGGTAATGCCAACTCCTTCTTCTTGGATTCGGGTATATCACCGCGAAGGTAGACAAAGAAGACACGGTCGCTTGATTACGCTGTTAAAATCAGAAGAAAACCAAGAAAAGGACAGGCCTTACGCAGTGATAGGAGTCGGGGCAATCTCGAGGAACTCGATTTCGAATATTTGGTCGTTCTTAGGCACGGCATCGTAGATGGCATCGTTATCGCCAGGGACTCGCTCATCTGCCATTAGATCATCGCTGGTGAGTAATTCTTGTTGTGTGGGATGGGCCTTGGAAGAAAAAGTAAGTACAGCAGTGCAAAGAGACAAGATTTGAGGAAGAATTGGTTTCATCGCGTAGTAGCGTTCACGGGTCAGGGTGAGTGAGCAACGAGGAATAAGCGAAGGGTTGGCTTTGTATTATTTAGCTGTCTACTAGGCAACTAGTACTAGATAGTACTGGGTACTAGTTTAGAAACTGCCTCTCGACAGTAGTAGCTGACTTCAATCAGCGCTCAGCCACGAGAGGGCCGGTGGCCTGTAACTTAGCCTAAATAGCTCCAACCGGGTCTAATATCGCATATAGAACGGTCACTGGGCCAGCCGTGGAACATCCTTTAGGCAGTTACAATAGATGGAACTCGGTTCACTCCGGCCTGCCTGCACGGTTGTAGATTAACAAGGGTTCGCCTCTTGTACTGTGCACTCTCATCCCCGGTCCAGGCCATCATCGCTTCTTTCAAGCGGACTCATGATCCAGTACCTCTGTGGTCATCGTTCCAGATACATTCATCGACAAATGATGTTGACACTTCATCGCCCAAGATCCGGTATCTCCTGGTCCGCTAAACCCTCCATGGGACAAGATAGCTGTGGCATGCAGGCGTCACAGCCCGTAGGTCCTGAGAGATACACCATGGACGTCAAATACGGCAGGGCGGTGTTAAGAGGTCCTGGACACGTCGACTACCGGGTCTGAGGCACCATTGTGCAAGCCTGGCTCATGACCGGGAAATTCTGGCGCAAAGTCAACACCTCACTGAAAGATATACTTGGGTCTCGACCCGTCCGGGCGGCGGGTGCCACGTTCCCCGTCCTAGACGGAGGAGAACGAAGTTGTAGACCGACTGCGACTTGTTGGAGCGGTGAAGTTGAAAGATGAATATACATGCGACGAAGCGTTTATCGGCGACAGCGGATTCGTTGACCAAGGACGGTATTGTCAATCGAGCTGCGGCTGGTCATCGGATGGCAAGAGCCTCTGGGTCCGGGGTACAATGTACACCCTGTGCGATTCACGCCGCGGCAGCGTGAACTGGTGGAGGCTTTGCGCAGGGCTCAGAGTATGAATGGGCAATGCGCCGTTCTGGGGAAGTCGGGGCGGGCAACGTTCGATGAGGATCCCGGCAATTATCCGCCTGTCGCGGACCTTTTTCAAGAACGTAAAGATGAACTATGATTCCTTTTCCTGTGCTTGTGATCAGATGGGACATGTCATTATCTTCGTCGACGGTCACTCCACTCATTCTGTGGGTCTATGGCAACTAGCATCATAATACTTCAGAAATACATGGTGAGCTTGTGCGATCGTTGACCACGGCTGACAGTATGTACTTCCCGAAAGGCACGGTGGATGGGGAGAAAACAGATGTTGAATATGGATAGATATACCTTCTGGAAACAACGTCTAGTTTCGGGCTGTACAACCACTTAGTATTCAATTGAATCTATTTAGTGATTAGATCATTACCAAGCGCCAGGAGATAAAAATGAGATATCCATAACGGAAGCTTTGCTTGTCACTACTAAAATTAAACCCAAAGTTCGAAGAGTACTACCCCATGCATAAATTCAGATAGATGTTTGAAATAATAATCATCCCGAAGAAGGTAATTTTTGGAATGGACAAGATTTATTCAAAAATCTTGATATTTATATACTTCCATGTATAACTTATCAGGCTACTTAGTAAGAAGCAACACTAAATTAGACCTAACGTACTCCGTAGAAAAAAGTTATCTAATCTCTGCAGCAACCTAGTTTGGAAGTAACCCAACAACGGATGACTCAAGCATAGATTGTTTCCCTGCATTTTTGTATACCTCCCTGACCATTCACAATTCTACCATCGAACCAAAATGGGCAAGTCCAATCTAGAGCTGGTCAAAGAATGCGACCGGTAACTGCCTTGCCCCTCCAACCCCTCCCTCTCCACTCTTCATCGGAATGCTTGCTTACCCATGATTCCACTGCGGTAGATTCCCGTACTATCAGGATGACCCCGCATTCTACACCGCGCACCTGGAGAACTACCACCGCTTCAAGGTCAGCGGCTGCGACGCCGTGCTCGGCTACATCCTCAACAGCGTTGTGGAGAAATTCCCCTGGCCGGCCGACTTCTGGGCGGTGGACGGCGCGACGCGGACGGTCACCCTCGTGACCGGCGCCGATGCGACCCCAGCGCAGCGCAGCCGGCAAGTCGCGCAGACGCTCGCCGCGGCGGTGGAGCAGGGAACGTTCGAGATCCTGCGCGGCTGGCGCGACGAGCTGTACCCGATCTACGGGCCGGGGGGCGAGTTCCTGCTGGAGATGGAGCGGTCGGCCACCCCGCTCTTCGGGGTGGTCTCCTACGGCATCCACGCCACGTGCTACGTCGAGGACAACGACGACGACGACGACCGGGGGCTGCGGATCTGGGTGCCGCGGCGCTCGCGCACGAAGCAGACCTACCCGGGGATGCTGGACAACTCCGTGGCGGGCGGGATGAGCTCCCACGAGCGGCCGTTCGAGTGCCTCGTGCGCGAGGCGAGCGAGGAGGCCTCGCTGCCGGAGGCCGTGACGCGCGCGAACGCGCGCGCCGCCGGCTGCGTCACCTACTGCTACGTCCGGAGCTCCAAGGCCGGCGGCGAGACCGACCTGCTGCAGCCCGAGGTCGAGTACATCTACGACGTGCGGGTCGGCGCGGACGTGGTGCTGCAGCCCGGCGACTCCGAGGTCGAGCAGTTCCACCTGCTCTCGGTCGACGAGACCCAGGCGGCCCTGGCGCGCGGCGAGTTCAAGCCCAACTGCGCGGTCGTCTTGATCGATTTCTTCATCCGCCACGGCATCCTGACCGCCGAGAACGAGCCGGACTTCTTGGAGATCCTGGCCCGGATACACCGGCGCTTGGAGTTTCCCACTGCCTCGCATGCGGCGAACTAGAAGGAAAGAGGAGGCGGGACTGATAAAGGCATGTATGAGAGCGAAGAAGAAGCAGCAGCAGCAGCAGCAGCAGCAGGGAATGTACACAACATGTCATAGAATTTAGTGGTTCTCTATTTCAATTATACCCAAATTTCACCAATCGAACGCCGGCGCTGCAATCGAAGGACCCCAATCAAATGCAATCAGACTTTTTTTTTTGGTCGCTTTCCCAAATACTAATCGGACTTCGAGCGCTTCTACAACCCATAGTAGCCTAGGGAATCAGAAAGACAAACGTCAGAGACGATTCTCGTCCTCTGCTGTCCTTATTTCTTAAGAAGAAGGTAGACATAGTCGATCCGCAAGGGTGCCAGCTTCTTGTAAGGGCCCTCAAGATAGAGCAGCAATCCGCCAAAGGAGATGAAGACAGCCCTGGAGCGAAGAGAAAAAGATCCGAGGTTAGTCATAGTCACAACTTCCATGAGATCAAAAACTCCCCAACATGTCGCCATAAAAGATCCCAATTCCCAAAAAACACAAGGAACTTACATGTTTCCCGAAGTCGAGCCTTCCTCGAACCGGTAGACCTTGCCGTGGCAGACGTAATCGTAGTCGTTGGCCAGGGTCTGCTCGCCCATGCCGACCTCCTTCCAGCCCGCCTTAGCCCCGGAGTCGTCCTTGCCATCCAGCGACAGAGTCGACGCCAGCGCCATGTTGAGGGACTCGCCCACGACGCAGGGGTACAGCTCGGTGTTGACGTCGAGCGTGAAGGTCGTGAAGTTGTCCGAGGAGGTGCAGGTCAGGCGCGACACGCGGTCATATTTCTGCTGGTTGATCGCCGTGATGGTGAAGGTGTCCTCGAAGAGTAACGGGTCGGACATGGTGGGCAGGTTTCGTTGCACGCCGAGTTTTCTTCGTGTAGAGAATTGCGATCTTGGTCGTTGGTGTCAAAGATGTGTAGAAGCTGGTCGATGAATGGACAAAGCGAGCGCGCGCGCGTGGAGGATGGAAAGATCCAGAGAGAAAGAAAGTGAGGAGTTCGCGCGGGAGAAACCCGACGGACAGCTTTTTTGGTAGTAGAACTTTTAGTGCCGCCGTCGTCCTCGCTGCCGCTGCCGCCGCCGCCGCCGCTTTTACAGTACCTTTCCGTGCATTGCCCCGCAGCATCTCAAAGCTTAAGGAAACAATTTCGTGCGCGCTTCAGCTGAGTTGCATTTACCACAACAACATCCTCAGTAATGTCTTTTCGAAAGAGGAATATTGGATTGTCGACTGGAGGCGATCGGACTGCGTCCGTCAATGCCTCTGCCGGGCTGCAGCAAGCGACGTCTCCTGCTGCTGCTGCTGCTGCTCCAGAATCCACGCCGGGCGTTCGCCCCTCCCCCGACGATGGGCGTCCGACGACGTCGACGGGAACACCGTCGCTTGATAACATACTTGCTGGACATGGAGGTCTTCCTATTGGGAAGACATTGCTGGTGGAAGAGAATGGGACGACGGACTTCGCGGGAGCTTTGCTACGATACTATGCAGCTGAGGGCGTGGTGCAGGACCACAGAGTCCATGTCGTCGGGATGCCGGAGCAGTGGGGAAGAAGTCTTCCGGGGCTTATAGGGCCAGCTGATGCTGTCGATGATAAGCAAGACAAGCGCAAGGGCGAGCGCATGAAGATCGCTTGGAGGTACGAGCGCCTGGGGGAGTTTGGAGCAGGAATTGCAGGGTCAAGAGGTAATTCGACATATGTCCATGGGTGTGAATGAGGCGCGTTGACGATTAATAGTGCCTACAGCTACTTCCGGGGACCAGAGTCAACCGACTGCAGACGGAAGTCCGGACAAGCGACCTGCGTTCTGTCACGCCTTCGATTTGACCAAACGACTCACACACCCCTCCATCACCAATCTCAACTACATCCCGCTCACCCCGTCGAACGAACCCCTGTTCACGACCATCCACAAACGCCTTGATGCTGCGATCGCTTCGAGCCCCCCAAACACTGTCCATCGCATCGTCATCCCGTCTCTCCTGAACCCCACGATATACCCGTTCGAATCGAGCCAACCTGATAGCGTTCTGCCGTTCCTCCACTCCCTCCGAGCACTGCTCAACACGCCCGGCGTTCGAGCCACGGCGATGATCACAATCCCCTTGTCTCTGTTCCCTCGCGCGTCAGGCCTTGTCCGATGGATGGAACTCATCAGCGACGGAGTCATCGAGCTGTGTCCATTCCCTCACTCAGCCGACGCGCTCGCCACCTCCGGCGCAGCCACGTCCCACGAGGAGCCTCCCCAAGGAATGTTGAAGACCCATCGGCTACCAGTCCTGCACGAGCGTGGTGGCGGGAGTGACCAGAACGTCGGCCAGGACTGGGCTTTCACATTGAGTCGGCGGAGGTTCGAGATCAAGCCCTTCAGTCTCCCCCCCGCCGAAGGCGACAAGGAGGGCCAGGACGGCGCGGTTTCCGGCAACATGCCGAAGAAAGCGGATCTAGAGTTCTGAAGTGTTGGGTGTTTGTTTGAATGCAGACATCTTCGCGATTATTCCTCGTGTTCCGATCCTCGCATCATATCGTCCAGCTCGATCTGCTCGGACATGGCGGGCCCGGTGTTGACCATTGTGCGGAGATAGTGTCTACCGTACGAGTCGATGCCCGGTCCGGCGGGCGAGGCTGCGAAATACGATCGCAGGCGGCGGTTCCTCACGCAGGACGAAAGACCCAGCCATGCTTTACGGCCCCGTTAACAAATTATTCTGATGCAGAGAAGTGGTGAAAGTGGACATACCTAGAAGCAACAGGAGGGGAGTGAAAAACACGAAGAATAGAAGCAACAAGAAGCTCATTTTGACGCCTAATGATCCTCGTCGTTGGACAATCAATCACATCTCCTGGTCGCGGAAGAGCATCCATCAGCAAGGTGCCCAGTGTATGGTGGCCCGTGCTCATTACTAATCACAAATGGTCGGCTAACCGTAAGAGGAAAGGTCTCCATTGGGGCAGCTTCTTTAAGAGCTTCCATCCCACTAAATATTTTTTCCTCAATTCTTGCTCTTCCCGCCAGAGAACAACACGGTCTCTGCAACACTTTCGCAGTCTTTGCACTGCTAACGCATAGGATGCTTATGCGTTCTGAGTAGATGGTAAGCCTCACTTTGTTTTTGTCTTATTTTTCTCTCCCTTTGCATGATTATATGAACTACTATAATCTGTCAATCCCCTGAAGCTCACAATAATCTCATTTAACGAGCATATGTGATTGAGAAACGTATTGAAAATGATTTGCAATGCCCATCCCGCTGTCGATCCTCTGCATCACTCCTTGAGTCTTCGAGCTAACAGCGCCTCAGTTACAGCAGAGATTTACTTCCAAAATAAATTTTTTACCTTCCCAATGGAATCAGACCCTCCCCTCCCCGTCCCGATCTCGTATATCGCGGGTAGCTACTTTCTCTTCTCCATTGATGCCGTCACGTATCTGAGACGCGAGCACCACATCTGCGGCGTGCTCACCGGCACCCTGCCGCAGATCCCCCAGCAGAATGTGTTTCTGGGGTTGCCGCTGAAGCTGATGCCCGAGGAGGCGCGGCTGCTGGTGGACAACGGTGTAGCATGCATTGTAGACGAGGTAAAAGCCCAGCGCGAGGGCATGCGCGCCCTCCGCGAGGCCGACCGCCAGAAGTATCGCCGCGAGCTAGAATCCCAGGGCGCCCACGCCATGCGGCTGCAGACCAACCGCAAGGAGCAGCAGCGCGAGGAGGCGCTGAAGCGGGTAGAAGCGAAGAAGACGGCCGCTAAGAAGAAGGCTGCTGCTGCTGCTGCTGCCGCCGCCGCCGCCGCCGCCGTGGGCGAGGGTGAGGATAATAGTGCTGCTACAGGGAGCGATGAGCCCGCAGCCCCAGATACTGCTCCAGCTCCAGCTGAAGATACCCTAATGGCTGCCACGACCACCTCGATAACATCCACATCCACGCCCACAACCACCACCACCACCGCCCCCTACGGCACAACAATGGGCATCACCCCCGCCACCTCCCACCCACCACTCCCGTACACACCCTCACCCTCCTCCTCAACCGTGCTCCCCCCGCCCACCGTGCCCCCCTCCTACCCGCTCTTCGCCCACCTCCACGCAGAGGGGTACTACCTCTCGCCCGGCCTGCGCTTCGGGTGCCAGTACCTGGCGTACCCCGGCGACCCGCTGCGGTTCCACTCGCACTTCCTGGTGGTCGGGGCCGACTGGGACGAGGAGCTGGATCTGATGGCGGTCGTGGCCGGCGGACGGCTGGGCACGGGCGTCAAGAAGGGGTTTCTGATCGGCGGGGCGGCGGATGAGTCTGGTCTGGGGGATGCGGGGAGTGTACGGACGTTCAGTGTGGAGTGGGCTGGGATGTGAACTCTTGGTAGTGGTGTTGATATTGTGGAGGGTTTACGGTTCGATACTGATATGTATTGATGTGGATGCTTATGGTGGCTTGGTTGCATGCGCCTGTCTCTTGTGAGGAATGGGGTGAGGTTAGAGCTTGTGCTGCGCTGCGCCGTTGTCTGTCCGCTTCGAGTTGATTACTTCCTCCTGGTGATGGGTGATGGACTTCTCTCGGGGGGTAGAGATATGCGGTGCAGCGGGAATGCAGTAGCAGAAATGCATATGGACTGTCTTGCTATGCCGCTAGGGCGGCTGGGTTTGTCGTCTGCGGGTTGATCCTGCGCAGAGTCGTCTCATTATGCTCTATCTAGGGTGCTTAGGTGCCTGGCTGAATTGAGATGGAGCTGAGTCGGCTAAGAGACAAGCTATGCTCGACCAAAGATAGTGCTCGATGTGAGCTACATTGAACATGAATGAACGAAATCAAATATGATGCGAAGATAGATTCTGGTGTTGATTGATCTATATCAACAAGACCGACTTCTGCTGACCTTTGCGCATGCGCATGTGCATATGCGTGTGCAACGTGCGTTGTCGAGTGGTCATCCAGCCTCGTCGGACTGTAGCCTAATGTAAGGTATTGCACTGGAGTGCCCTTGTCGGGTGAAGCCAGACGGCACTTCAACGCCAGCCTAGTTGGCGGAACGCACTGCCGTGCCTGCAGCCGGGGTGTAACTGCAGAAGATCGACATCCACCACCGAATTCGCCTCTGCATGGAGACGCTGAAGCTGAGCTTTTAGACATGATTCTCAGGCTCGGTAGCCATGCTTCTTCCACATCCAAGAATCAACGAGTAAGCCAGCAGCAAGCTCACCCTGCTCTCAATGCTCCAGCATCTCCCAGCAACCGCAGCTACACTGCACAGGCATACAATCCTTATCCTTATACCCCGAGCACCACCAATAACCCCATAAATCCAAGCCCCCAGGACAGAAACCCAAGGGACAGTCCAAGGCCAAACCTCAAACATAGTCCACATTCCTCCACTTGAACTTCTTATTCGCGCGATCGACCGGCCGATTCTGGAACTGGCTGCCATGCAACTCGAACACGAGCTTCTTCTGTTGCGGTTGCGCTTGGTCTTGCCCTTCACACTCCCCAACCGCATCTTTCCCCCCCGGCGCGAAAGGTAAAGGCAACTCAAACCGAAAAACCGTATGTTCCTTCGGAACCACTACCCCAACACCCAAAACGTCAGCAAACCCAACCTTTCACCCCCAAAGAAACCAGAAGCGAAAAACTCACGCGTAACTCGATCCCCCTCCCCCACCACCGTAAACGCAAACATGCCATCCCTCACCACAATGCCCCGCAGCCCAACCCGACTCGCGCACCGACTCCGCACCACCTCCACCTCGGCCCCATGATAATCACAGCTCACCAGCTTACTCCCATGCGAGCTCGGCGTGACCACACACCCCGTCTTGCTTCGCGGGTCCTTCAAATCGAGCACGGCGAGCATGTACTCCACCCACAGCGCGTTCAGGCCCTTGAAGGTGGCGTACTTGTATTCCCCTGCATCCGCACCATCGCCCTTACCATCACCATCACCCTCTGGCTGATTCTGGGTCTGGTTCTTGGTCTTGTTCTTGGAATGCTTCGCCCGCGACCGGGAGGTAGAAGGCGCCCCGAACACCTCGGGGTGGGCGCGGCGCTCCCGCGCGGACAGGGGCCGGGGTTTCTGGTGGCGGAGGAAGTAGTCCTTGCGGCGGAGGCGGTGGAGGCGGCGGCGGTGGCGGTTGTCTTCCGGGGTCGGGGAGGTCGGGCGCACGTAGAGGGGTTTCTGTTTGACGCGCTCGGTGAAGAGGGTGGTGGCTGTGTCCGGGGAGTGGGCGCGGAGGAGGAGGGTGTGCGCTATGTGTTGTTTTTTGGGGGTGGTTGTCATCTTTGTTGCGCGTGGAGTGGGGGGTGTGGGGTCTGAAATTTGGGGTGAAGTGTAGGAGATGAGAAGAGGAGGTGGATGGAGGATGGTTGGGGGTCGAAGTGGAAGTGGAAGTGGAAGTGGAGGTTGGTTGTATGTCAACGTGGTGACGGTAGTTGGAGAAAAATGTTGATCGGGCTTATCAGTCATCGAACTGATAAGATCGCTCGCTGCCTTGGTGCCTCGGTGCCTTGGGATGGCGGGTGTCGACTCTAATTGTTAGTCCCCAGTTTCCCATGCTCGCTGAGACTGGACTGCACACAAGTCTTTGTTTGTGGCATGGCTTCTGCTGGATATTGTGGGTTGCGGAGACGTTTTCGATATGCCTCTTTCACGCAAAGTCTGGTTGCGATGGTGGTTGATCTCGCTGGTCCCCACATGATGTATACTCTTATGCAGCCAGTATACATCAAAAGGAGAACATTGAGAACTTTTCATAAACCAGTTCTGCTGACTCTAATCTATACTCAGCCTCTTGCAAGCACTCTCATATTGACAACAAGATCATACTCTACCGCAACCCCCAGTGAGCCGAGCAAACCTCACTCCACACATCATTGCCAGGTATACCCTCCTCAGATATCGCTTCAGTTTACGATGGTTTAGATATGGAGTAGACTCCTGGACCAGAACATTTTTGATCTGCTTATAGTTTCCATCGAAGATGAAATGGGTTGGGCTATCTCACTTGCCATTCTCACAAAAACAGCAAAACCACAATGCTGCTATTCCTCCACCTCAGACACCCTCCATTCACTTTCACTCTCAACGTAGCCTGCCCTCATCAAACCCACCTCCTCACCGTATCCCTGTGAATATACCCCCCAAAATTACCTTATCGTTCCGAACACTAGCATACCTAGGAGCAACACTGCCTCAGACCCGTCTCAAGCCCCACCCCGAAGACTCGGAATCAACAGTGGTGTTATATACTCACCACTATATAAGTTCACCCGCCTCACCGAGTCACCAGAGCAACAGTTCCTCGCACTATTTCTATCATCAACCAATAACCCCTCTTGAATATCTTCATCAAAAGGCCTACCACTCCCCTCACACCAACATGGATAATTTCCTCGACTCGGACGACTTTCAGACACCGCTCAGTAGTCCCAGATCATGCATATCGACACCCCCTACCTCTCCACCCAGTGCTGGCAGCTCAAATCCTCTATCAGCTCGATATCTGGGTAAGATCAGACTTCATTCACGCCATGCTAAGCAACCATCGAGCTAACAGACTCCGTCAGAACGAGAATCGTCTCCGCTGCTGTCGTACACCGCGCGGTTCCAAAACCTTCTAGTCGGACTCCCATTTCGTGTCAAAAAGAGCACCTTCACTGCCAAAAGTACACCCACAAGTGTCATCGATGACATCAAAAGTCGTCGAAATAACTTCCTTCGAGCAAAGAGAGACCTCATCCTTCCCCTCCTAGACAGGGTTCCCGACGTGCTGAGCGATTCTGAATATCATGGGCAACCAACTATCGAGCAGCAGCAACAACTGACATCTCAGCCGGGAGGGTAAGTAAAGACCCTTGCTACCTGGGCCTTGCACACCCTGATTAACCTTGCAGGTTGCGGGCAACCCTGAAACCATACCAGCTCGACGGCCTTTCGTTCCTCATGTACCTTCGACGAAACGGAATGGGTGGCATTCTAGGCGACGAGATGGGGCTTGGCAAAACTTTGCAGACATTGACGCTCTTTGAACATGTCACGGAGAGTGAACGATCCTCTTGTATCAATCCTGCACCATTTCTGGTTGTTTGCCCTCTGAGCGTCTTGGACACTTGGATCACCGAAATCACAAAGTGGACTCCGAACCTCACTCCCGTCAAGTTTCATGGAACTCGCGATCAAAGAGCAATGGTAAAGAAGCTCTTTTCGAAGAAGCAAGGCAAGGAGGGCTGCTTCAAAGAGGATGTCAGAAGCACAGTGCTGATCACCTGCTACGAGACGTTGATGGCGGACATCCTCTGGTTCCGAAAGGTGGCAATCTGGAAGTATGTTGTACTCGACGAAGGCCATCGGATCAAGGACAGTAACTCCAAGCGGGCACAGGCTATGGGCAAGCTTCGTGCTGAATATAAGCTCATACTCACAGGGTTAGTGATATTGTCCATCTCTTGACCTTCCCATGCTCACCAAACCTGGTCTTTAGTACTCCGATTCAAAACAACTTGGGCGAAGTGTGGTCGCTGTTGCACTGGCTTTTCCCCGAAGTTTTCACACCGTCGTCGGCTAAGCTGTTCAAGGACGCATTTTCGCTGAACGAAGGCAAATTCGATGCTGGATTCTCGAATCATATCAAGAGATTTCTCAACCTCATCATGTTGCGACGTCTAAAGGACTCTCCGCAGGTCGGAATCAATCTGCCACCCAAGCAGGTTGTTACACTCGCTGTGCCGCTTTCAAAGCTACAACACTCTTTGTATATGAATGTGCTGACAGGACTAGACGAAGCACTCGGTGAAGTCTCGCAGCCGTCGTCGATGTTGGAGACAGACAAAGAAGGCTGGCCTATCGACAGGCCAAACATCGACCCTAATAAGCCAGCCGCCAAACGCAAATGGAAGATTTCGGATAACGTTCTCATGGAACTGCGAAAGGTAAGCATTGATTGCATCATGCCAACCATGCAGTATACTCACGTCTGAAGTGCTCCATCCATCCTTGGCTATTGAATAACGGCCCAGAAAGTTCAAATGATTCTGCTAGCTCCCTTCTCTCGTGCTCAGGAAAGCTTCTTGCGTTGAGCAAGTTGGTTCATCACTTCATCTTCACCGAAAAGAAGAAGGTCGTCATCTTTTCATGTTTCGTCAAGGCTCTTGATCTTTGCGAGGAGCTCTTGGGAATCCTGCAGAGACGCGGTTTCTTCGAATATGTCAGGCTTGACGGGAGCACTTCTCGAGCTTGGCGCAGGCTCTGCGTCCATCTCTTCAACAACCTTCCCCAGTTCATGGTCTTCCTTGTATCAATCCGGGCCGGCGGCGAGGGGCTTAACATGGTCGGATCTTCGGTGGTCATCTTTTTAGACGAAGATTGGAATCCGCAAGTGATGAGACAGGCTGAATCTCGCGTGCACCGTATAGGCCAAAAGCAGCCGGTAAGGATCTTCAGGCTTATCTCCAAAGGTACCTTGGAAGAGCAGATGAGCCGCCGCCTGCTCAAGAAGTCATATCTTTTATCAAAGATCATTGAAGAGGAGCGCATATTCGAAGCTGGAAACGGTTATGACTATACCCTGACCGGAATTGACGAGACGCCTCCGATGCGCCTCATTGCCTGCGAAGGTCTTCAAGAGAATAGCTTGGCAGATATGAGGTCCTGGAGTTTTGAATCACTTCTTGACAGATGCACCATTAACTCGAACACGGGCAAGGACCTCGCGAACACCTCTTCCTGGTGGGAAGTGTCGGAGCGGGTGCGCACGAATATCTTTAATGGGCAGAAGGTTGAGAAACTGTCTAGGTCGCAGGCATTTCCAGACGATGCGCCCTATTTCGCCCGTGCAGAACGTCGAATCGGCAAAGGGCGGGTTATTACCATTGAGGGTTTCGACGTCACGAAGGAGAATCTACGCATGCATGTCACTTCTCCAACGACACCAAAATCACCAGGAATGGGAACGTTGAAGTCCATGACAAACGAGATCGTGAGTACAGTGGCCATCACAGTTTATAACCCTGGCTGACCGAAGTAGACATGTGGGATCTGTAAGAGGTTCGAACCTCTGGATTGTCAGACCTGTCCTCGAGCATATCACTGGGAATGTCTGCCGGATTCCATGAAGTCGCACACGAACGAGGCCCGTTTCAGTTGCCCCCATCATGTTTGCTCGGGTTGCGAGAGAAGGGCATCTGAGGCCGGTGGGCTCTTGTTCTGTTGTGCGAGGTGTCCGCTCGCATTCTGCGAAGATTGTCTCGATTGGGGGAAAACCGAGTTTATTGGAAGGAACTTTGCCCTGGAAAACCTTGGATACCACCCACACTCCTATTTCTACATTCACTGCCCCAGCTGTATTGGCGGTCGCAAGCGATCCGGCGATGAGTTCGATGGCATGATTTCAAAGCGCTTGAAATGGGGGGAATGACTGGATGTCGTCGCTGGAGGGCACCAGACCATTGAGCAAGTTTGGATGGATATTTCTCATGGAATCAAGGTTTTCTGTACAAAGAGCTTCAGTGTACCCTAGAAAAATACATGAACATGTCGACTGGGACTCCCTGTCAGTAATGAAACCAGGTACTGAATAAACGGTCACCGTACGACCTGCCACAAGACCGGTATGTACAAACTGTAAATTTCACGGGGGTTGACTGCCATGTAAGATATACGAGCTGCTACCATACCATCCGGACAATCACATGGCGCGACACGCAGGGCGCTAGAGGGAACATGTGGCGCCTCCAGTTCCAGCAAAGTCCATGCCATCCGGGGCATGTCCCACTCAGCAGTGCGCCGTGTAGACGCCCCAAGGATCTGCAGGTTTGTTTGCTTGAAAACAGGATCACTGGGGGGGGGGTGAGGATGATGGGGGCTTTCATACGCCCACCCCGTATTCGAGGTAATTGGAGACCGCTGGTTCTTGGGTAAGCAAGGCAACCGCTGCATGAATCATGCGGCAGGAAGAGCAGCAGGTGCAGGGATGGCTCTCATTCGGTGCCAATCTGCTGGGACGGAGAATGGAGCAGTCATATTTCTTTTTTCTCGAAGGCTGTGTTCGGGAATAAGTAATGCAGGGAGGGAGTAGAGTGGATGCAGTGGAGGAATAGTCGGGTAGTGGTTTATCCCCTGGGGAAGCGGTGAGGGAAGAACCGTGGTGGGGGGTCTTTCCTATCTGGTCTCTTACTTGTTGACAGGGATTGTACTGAGCTATATCGGTTGGTCAGGTTTGGGTCTGGTGTCAATCGGTTTTAAATGTTGCTTTGTATACTATGTATTACCATGCTTCGACAGCAGATGCTCCTGTTGCATTGAGGAATTCAAACCTTGGTCGGGCATCCGATTTTTACCTTGTTCGACTTGACGCATATTGATTTTATTGTATCAATTTCCTTATGACCCGCTAGACGAGAATATTACAGAGTTGATACCGATATACAACTAATTGAGTGCGCTTTGAAAGGTGGGCAAGAAAAAGCAAACCTCATCTGACTCAGACGTATACTGCCTAACTTATTGATTGAATCCAGACCTGCAAGCCTAGAGCCTCCGCAAACCTCCCAGTCGATGCCCTCTAAGCAGCCAATGCATGATCTTGCGAAGTCCACGCGAAGAACCTCGGTAGTGCATCCATCGCCAGTCCCGCGGATCATCCACGGATCGGACCGGTCAGAGGGATGCAGCCTTCCACGAGAAAGCAGCTGCACCGCCAGATGTGCCATCTCTTCGACAGTGATAAATTTATGATATTGCCCAAGTATGCTCCCCAACAGGGTACCGCTATCTCCTAGTTCTAATATGGGACTCAACGAATCAACTATCCCAATTGATTCATCATCCCGTGACTGGAAGACCCCAGTGGTAACTTGGAACCAAGTCTTTCGTGCATGGGGCAAAAGAATTCTTCAAGAAACCAGAGGTTACATAACTCTGTGGCCCGAACAACACCGCAATGCGACACGCCACCTGTCCTCACTTCTCATCCTTCTCGGTCTCCCTCTGTTTCGGGCGTCCTGCTCCTACTCCTACTCCGTTCCCGTCTCCGATCCCAACTTGCTCCACCCGGACACGACCGACTCCTCTGCTACCAGCCCAATGAAGCGGCAGGATTTGAGCAGGCGGCACTCCGGGATCCAGGTTCCACGGACGCCACTGTCGCCAATTGGCATCCGTTAAGCTTTGACTGGATACGAACTGTCGGGAGGCCGACCCGGCGGGCTGTCACTGCTGAAGTAGTTTAGTGATTGGGTGTCTTTGCGGGAGGTATTACTGAATCCGAGGGCGCAGAGCGGGGACACTGTTTCTTGTTTAGTTTACAGTATTTGTCCTCAATAAGTGTAGCAGTGGGCAGCAAAGAGGCCTACAGTATCAAGCACTGGACGATATCAACCATACAGTTCCGAATCAGCTCACCCAAGCTCACCAGAGGACTGCAAGGACAAAACACAAACTACCTTTGGAGTCTGTATGACCCGCCCAAGCAACCTACTTACACACCTAAAATTATCTTTGCGACCCAAGTGTCACCACTCAACCACTGACAACCCACCTCTGGGTAGACACAACCCCCCTCGTCGGAGAATAATTACCAGGAACCGACATCCCCGAGCCACATGCGTTTGCTCCCCGGTTCGAAGCAGCAGACCCGGGACAGAACTTTGAATTGACTCCATAAAAGACCCAAGTATAGACTCCCAGTTGCAGCCCACCAGATGAAACCTTCAGCTACTGACGTGTAGTGACCCATCAGACCACCACCACCACCACCAGTCCACCGGTCCACAAGTATCTAAGCACCTGGTATGAGTACATCACCCTCACCCCAAGCATCAACCCGAGAAAACATCCATCAACCCTCAACCCCAGAACCCAGGGAACTCACCCACCCAACGGACCTATCTTCTTCAACCAAACCCCCGTTTCACCATCGTATAGCAGGTACTGTAACTATAGCAGACAACGCCACAAGACCATCCACACCCATCCAACTCCCAGAGCCCCTCCACCTGCCACGCCTACATTCTCAGTATATACCGCACCATATTATCTCGTAACCTAGTGCAAATGGCATGAGGTGCCCGGCACAGGCAGTGCAGTCATACCTCAGCTCATACCCCATTGAGATCTTGGCACGTCAGACGCGGGGAACCCGGTCTCGGTATCCACCGCCCGCCATGAAAATCAATGATCTTCGATTCCAGGTTTCTGCAGTTGCAGTGTACATGTACTGTACTGTACCACCTTAGGTACATACCTCTTACTGCATAATCCCTTTTCAGTCGATGATGATGATGATGATGTTCCCAACCCGCCAGAGCACCGACGTCACCCCTGTAAAGGTAGGTAGGCAATACCAATCTCAAGCGAGTACTGAGAGAAATACAGAATGATGAACAATGCCTAGGTCTCGATACTATCATCTATAATGAATAGCTATACGTATAGGAATACAGTGTATATTGAATCAAAGACACACTTCCCCCCGGAGAGCGTGGCGTAAATGCGCTGGCAGGGCGCACGCAACCTCCCCCTCCCCTGTACGCAACCATTCCATAATAGACGACCCTACCCCAAGAAATGCAAGAAGCAAGAAGCAAAAAGCAAAAAAAGCAAAAAATAGCGGTTATCTACCCCGTAACCAACACCACCACCACCACCAACAACTCCTAGCCTAAGTACAAATATACAGTGCATGCAATTCAACCTCCACAAAACATCAACCCCCAAACCCCGACCCCCAACCTTACTTACAGAGGACTCCCCAAATTAAAAATCTGCATTACGGTACCTAGTAGGTACGTACTCATAGATCCATAAAAAGAAATTGATCCGTGCGCGCCGGCGGGTTGGGTTCCAGTCTAGCTTTAGGTAAGTAACTTAACTACCTAGTAACTAGTCTACCGTTCTTCAAACCCCCCGGTTCCCCGTTCAACCCCCCCCCCGTCCTAGAGTTCCGGCCGAGTGCAGGGACGTTGGACGGAGTTTTGTCGGGGATATGTTTTTTGATGTGGTCCAAAATAAATTGGTCAAGTTAATGGTTTGATGTTTCTGGGTGAAATTCATGTTATTTCTGGGGGAGGATTAAGGTCTTAGGGAGACAAGCGGCGTTAGAAGATTACGGTACTAATTGCGACATGCTGGACGTATAATTAATTCATAGTGTTATCTATCCCGGGTTGTGACAGTGACAGGGTCTGGGTTGCATGATTTCTATCGGACTGCACCATGTGGTTTCGGATGATTCGGGACTTGCTACCTACCTGCTTACCTACCGGTTATCAGGTTGAATATACCCTGGAGGTCTATAGAGGTACTGTAAAGATATACTGGTTAAAATGCAAACGGCTGCATAGCCACTGCGATGGCTCCAGCATTACAATGTAAAGAGAACACCCCCTTCCCCTGACCGAGGCATGGGACGACACGGTCACCGAACCGCCGGGAACTGAATCCAACCCAGCGGGGCCCAGTGGAGCCCTCTCTAATCATTACTCAGCGTCCCTCCGATTCTAGACTGGGTGGCCTCAATATATGATTTAGATTACATCCAAGGACAGATGCAGTTTCTTCCAGCCCTGCTCAATCATTGGCTCGACTTCTTCCATCTTCAACACCATTGCGGGTCCTGTCAATCATCGCCGTGGCACACACTCTATTTAGGTTTGATTGCAGCAGCCCGCGGTTGTGGTTAGACCCTCCGTCACTCCATCACTCTAGTCCTGCTTCGGCTAACGCTCTAACATGCAGTTTCTCGATTGCGGATCACACCTGACTCGCCATCTGAACCTTCGAAAATGAATTTGGGTCTAGAAACACGTAATGCCTCGGCCAAAAAGGGTATCTGGAAATTGCAAGGACCTAATTTCGTAGCAAGCCCGGCGATGTAACATCGTGGGTTTGGTTCATTGCTGCATAGTTACCATCGTAAGCGCATATTCACAGGCCTTGCACAACGGGCAAATAATCCTGATTGAGGCTTCAAGATGCACCAATCACTAGGACCAGCCCTACTGTGCCCCCCATCAAACTCCTCTCGGTGGCTCTTCGTCTGGGCTCCATTCTCATGCTGTCCAGACTGGGGACAAGAAATCTGGGAATAGGCCGGCCGTATGGGCTGAACACGCTCTGGTGAGGGAAAAAGAGAGAACTCGTTGAGCATTTTACTAGGGCCGTGAATCGCGGCGTGAAGTGACCATGATCGTTTCAGCGTTCCATTGATCCCGTGCTCACTATCTTCACATGCGCCAATCGTTCTTCGACTCGTTTCGATATCTCAGGGTCGGGTTTTGGCCTTTCTTTGCGTTTCCTGCAATGAATGGATCAGCACGTGCTTGCTTATGAGCAACCGCTTCAGTAACTTACGGATCCCGTATGGTCTCGTCACATTTCTCTTGCCCGCAATGGGAGCAAATGGTTTCTCGCGATTGTAGTACGTTGTTGCAGCGGTGACAGAAGTATCGAACCCGTTGCCGGGGCTTCTTCCATGTCCGTGCAGGTAGTTCCGAGGGAGGCTCGGCGTCTCCGGGATAACCATTCGGGTATTTGTTAAGCTTCGCCCTACATCTTGTTAGCATAGCTCCGATGAGTGGAAATAGCACAACGTACGGCTCGCGAGGGCACAGAGTACAGCGAATGTGTTTGCAAGTAGTGCATTCCATAGCATCTGCCGCGAAAACGGTGTTGCAGCGATGGCAAGTTCGCCGAATTCTCTGGCGAGGTGGATTGTGGACCAAATCCTGGCCACCGGTACGTGAGGGTAAGGTCAGGCGAGGTTCTTTGGATTGGCGCGGCGCCGGGGCAATCTCAGGCGTCTTTTGCGACAGGAGGGTTTGGAGTGCAGCTTCAGTCTGTGCCTGTTTCTCGTCGGGCTTCGCAATGGGGTCCCGCGGACAGCTTGTGCAGCGAACATGTTGACAATTGACGCAAGCTTTGTTGGGCCCGAAAATGGTCTGACAGCGGTGGCAGGTACGGCGGACTCGCATACGGATCGGCCTCACCACTCGCTGCACGGTCATGTCGCTAGGCGCCTTCCATTCTCCTGGCTCGATGGCTAGTCCATACTTTGCGAACAAGGCGCGCGCCTTCTGTTCTTGGATGACTCCCCAGTTGTAAAGTACGGTCGCATTGGGGGACGCACTGATGGCAGGTGTGAGAGGAGTAGCTGTCAGGCTGGCCTGAAGTAAGTATTACGGCAATGTTGGCAATTGTAAGGGGGAAGGAGAGAGGTCGGACGTACGTAGCGTTCTGACTGGACGCGGGTACCTCAGTAGCCCCCTGTATACCGGGCGACGGAAATGTCTTGATGGTAGAGGTCCTCCTCATTGCAGTTCTGATGCGTTTAACATATTTAGAGAAACCCTCGTGCTTGCCCTCGCTGAACAGGTCGGAACTCTGTTGTGTCGACATGTCGAAAAGGCGCACAGTCTGATGAGGACGAGACTGGCTAATATTGTGGTGAACCAAGTCGGTGATATGAATGGAAGGTTGTCGTTTTTCTTGCAGTATATAAGAACTCAATCTCTGCGCCAGGCCTCGATGCAAAATGGTCTATTCATATTATCCCAATCGCTGGACAGTCGAGGTGCGTGAACGGGACAGGCGGGTTTGAGATGATCGATCTGAGTATGATAAAGTGGTTGTTGGGCGACCGGGACCAGGGGTGGAGGGTGGAGGTGGAAGGGGGGGGGGGGTGGATGTTGTTGATCGAACCGAGTGGGTGCCAAATAGAACAGACAAAGCGGGAACCACGATTAAGTATTGGCAGGTCGCACGGGCGTGACCCGAAACCGTAGACTTGGGACACCCGGCAAGACGGTGAGCTCTTGGTAGGGTCGCAGCCGAAGACCACGACTGATTGGCTGAAGGGCGGTCAGATCGTGTGGATCGGGCGTGGTCGAGGCGTACGAGAAGCCACGGGAGGGATTAGAAAGGGCGCGATGTTTTGTGGTGGTAGTAGTAGTGGTGGTGGTGGTGGTGGTGGTGAAAGAGAAAGTAGTTGTAGAGTTAGTTGTAGTAGAGGAGGGAAGAAAGTGAAGAGGAGGGAAGGGTGGGTGGGTGGTGGTAATGAATTGAGTTGGTGGCCGCCAAAAAGAGAAAAAGCGAGAAAGAGCAAAGATAAACAAATCAGGCAGGCAACGACGGCCACCTGCACTTCAGCGCGAGCCAAATGATAAATAGAAGCCGAACAAACCTTTCTGGCAGGGAGGGGGGAAACGGAGGAGCAAGAGGGGGGTGGGTAAGAGTATGTAAAGTAAAAGTCAAGTCAAGTACTCCGTAACGAGAGCGTAAAAGTAAAAAAAAAAAAAAGTGTTAAGTTAGTGTTAAGTTGCAAATGTGGCAGGAGGCTAAGGGGACTCGGGACGGAGAGTAGGTATGGGTAGGGGTAGCACATGGCTAATTCGTTGCTGGCTTGCGGTTATTTTTCTATCCTAGGATTTGAGAAGACATGAGTTTAAATTTACCCTTCAGCATTTTATCCAGATTTTTGGCACTGGCAACTGTTACGTATAGACTTGCAGCAGATACGGTGTCTGGTGATTCTTTATACATACTTGAGACACACCTAGACGTCATATATTCAATGTCAGATGAGAAGCAGCAAACAGGCCCTTTAGGGACACTGTCATAATAAATTCTGAGCGATAATAAATGTTCATTTGAATGCTCCAGATTGAGTAACCCATGACATACTCTGGAGTCTGGACAATCGAAAAGTGGTGGTATCGACCACGGGAAGAGATACTCACGATCCGTGCCGAAGGGGGAAGAGAGACAGACTACGCAGTAAGTGCAGTGCCAGACAGACGGTATGTAAGCAAGGTACGGGATGGAGACCAAGCGAACTGGAAGTCTTGCTAAGTAGCTGCTCCTGCAAGCCTGAGAATCCAGCAACCTTGAACTACAAGTAGGCTAATCTAGCGGGCGGGCGAACCGAGGCGACGGGGCGCTTGGGTCCTAGCCTAGCCTCTGAAAAGACTAGGTACCTAGTAAATTGAGTCCTCCCGTAACTACTGTCCCTAGACACTAAAGTTACTAGGCAATCATCCAGACCTGCAGTGAGGTGCACTGCTAGACGGAGTAATGCCGTGACACCCACTCGGAAACACTGCCCGAAACCCCCGTCTCGACCACCCGGCTCTCTTTCCTTAATCCTCTTAAGCTTGGCGGGGAACTCTGCTAGCAATTCCGACTGTCTTGTGTGGTGACAGACAACACCTCCTGCCTGTTGCTTTTTCTGATTCCCGGACACCTGGGATGTGGCTGAGTGCAACAGAGTTTGTTTGTTGTTCTGTACCCAGGAGTCTGGAAGCTGACCTGCTGGGCCAAGATGATATCAGCGCAAGGCTTGGTGGTATGATAGGTATGTATGGATGTATCCGTATAGCAGTGTATCTTACCCTGTTTGTTCACAACGGGCCATACCTCGAATTTACCTCGACAGCTTCCGCACTGGTTAACTTATATCCGGCTCTATCTGGTATAGACGATCACCTGTTGCTCATTGTCAATGCTAAGACAGTTGGACTGCCTACAATTCGCTGATATTATCACTACTACTTCACGCCGCCAGCTTCGTTTCTCGGTGGGAGCAATTGAATCTATACGGGTGACAACTTTCCATCTGAACATCAACAACATACCAGGTCCGAGATGAACGGAACAGAAGAAGAGCAATTGCGACATAACTTAGAAAGAACTTTCACAATCGAGTCCTCTTTCAACCATATCAATATGTTCTGCTCAATCAAATCGAGCCTTTGCCCAGCACACGGTGCTACCTTATACAACCTCCGTATCAAAACAGGTACCAATACCACAGTACATTAAAATACACCCTCTCCTCCCCCGACATTCCCGATTGACAGTAGCGCATGCATAGCAGCTGCACGACACTCAACCGGACCACCATGCTACAGTCCCAATCTATATTAAAAACGGCAATGGTTCCATGCAGAACAGCCGGCAGTGAGAAGAGTAAGGTAACGATTGAGTGTATGGTATGGTAAACAAAGAAGCCGTGAATGGAACAATTTGTCAGAACGAAGCAGCCCCAGCGAAACCTTAAGTTGCAATGCACCCTGCTCCTCCACTTTTTTTTTCTCCAAATCGGAGAAATCTGCCACCTCGATGAGGCAGGACCGTTCTATCTCCCTCTCCTGCCTCGTGATTGTCAAGACTTGACCTTGACCGTGGTGATCACCATGTAGAGTATGATAGACGCAGCATGTACTCAATACCTTAATCGCTACGACATACTTACCCACCTCGTACCACAATGATTAAGTTCCAACGGGGAAGCCATCATCAAGCCGTAGGGCATCATCCAAAACAACCTTCCCCAATTTCTACCAAAAAACCCCGATTCGGCCACAACAAAAAAGAAACCCAACAACCACACCACTGGGTTCGCAAACCAAATTCCTCCCTCCCTGCCCAATGCAAAATGCAAAATGCAAATCCCTTCTTTCCGCCACCGTCAACCACCGTGGACCCAGCACATGCAAGGGGGGGTGAAAGCGTTCTGGATATTGCTGGCTGACTGTCCATAATCCATCCCCACTGACCCTAGGTCCCTCTCCCTCTGGCCATGCATCTCCGAGAGAACCCCCCTCAAACCCGCACAAGCCAATCATCATCACCAAGGAAGACAACCCAGAGCTCGGGGTCAATTCCCCACCCATCACAGCATCGCCATCGTCATCTAATCCCTGCTCGCTTTGCCCCTCTCTCCCCAATCTCACCAGGACAATGAACCTCAACCCACCACTGGCAGACATCTCGAAGACCCGTAGTTCGAAGGGGAAAGAGCCGTAAAAGGACACAACTATATGGGAAAGAAAAGAGGGAAAAAAAAAAAAAAAAAAAAAAAAAACAAGGACAAACCCAACGACTCCGCTCCACGGGGCCACCTGCCACCTGCCACCTGGCAGACGAGCAGCTGGGCCTCCTACCCACCACGGCCTAGTACTATGAGTGTACAGTACTTTCGACATATGCATTCAGCCTATAGTGTCTGTCCGAATCATCTTATCTCCACTTTGGAGTCACATACTGTACCCAGTACTCATGAAAGAGCAGTGGACACTATCACTCAAACAGCATACATCACATATCACACATTGCAAGGTACAGTACTTTACCTCTGTAAATGACCTTCACGGCATTCCGTCGACTCTAGATGATAACCGTCGATCATCTGTTCTTACTAGACCTACAAGGGCTTAAAGTTACCATACATCCAGACATTGAGTGGGGGGAAAAGTTGATGTATCAACTTTTCCCCGGAAATGGGTTCCACCCGTCATGGCTCCCAAGCACTTGGGACGGGGCTGAGGGGGGCCACGGGTGGCTGGGAGGCTACACAGTACATGAATTCAAGAACTGTCGGGTCGTGTCCAGAGGTCAATCTGATTGACAACAAGCCTATCGTCGAGCACCGGGCTGGTCTTTTTGGTTACGTGTTTTCCTTATAGATATGGGCCACCTTGTTGCCGCCTGAGGCATTTATTGCAGAGGGGCCGATAGTCGAGTTCTTAATTGTGCCTTGCTACAGTCGGGGCGGTGCGACTGGGAACACGCTTCCGGCCTTGAGGAGATCTGTCTCAGTCCCGGTAGTCTCCTTCTTGTTTCCCTTGGAGGGATGGCTGTTGCGTCAGACCTGCAGTCAGCAGCAACGCTAGAGCAAGGTTGGCAGCTCTACAAGATCCAATACCGTGACCGATTGTGCAACAATCTATCCCATCCGGGACAACAGTATCAACATCAAGGTCCGCGTCCTCGCCAGAGAGACCAGAAGCTCACCAGCAGAACCAGAACCCATCCCCAACCAAAGATTTTCCAACCTCAAAAGCAATAGCATACACCGCTAAATATACCATTGAAAAGCGCTCGAGATATGAGTTCAAAAAAAGGCAGGCTAGAGACCCACGAAGGAGGCCCGAGCCCGAAAGATGATATATACCAACACCTCATCCTGCACCCCCGGACCGCCAACTCAGTTCTGACTCTGCAATCTGGCCTCGATCCCCACGATATCATCCTCACTCTCCACCTCAATCACACGGTTCACCTCGGCGGTGTTGCGCATCAACTCGACGGCACCCGCATACATCATCCGCAGCGAAGGGTTGCAGTTCTCGGGGAGGTAGTAGAGCATCACATAGGGGACGGTGAGACGGCCGGACGACTAAACCAAAGCAGAAAATGCAATATTAGCGACCCGCGATGAGCGACCACAGCAGAAACCAAGGGCAAGGGGGCAACGCACCAAGGTCAACGGGTAACTGAGAAGGATGAATCGAGGCGACGTCTCGGGAAGCTCGTCGGCGAGATCTTCCATCTTCGTGTAGACTTCACCATCCTCGGGGCGGATTTCCTGGCTCTTGTTGTCGATTATATCTGTCGACCCGACCAGTCAGCACCAACACCTGCAGCCCATTCCCTCTTCGACACCGCTGCCACAGAAGAATAGGATATGCCTGCATGCATCATCCTCCACATCGGCGAGGGAGGTTTCGAACGAGCGCGGGAAAGGCAACAACAAAGTGGAACGGAGCCCTACAGATAACAGCCTGCGGGTCTTTGGCGCGCGAGGTCCCCAAGCGAAACTTGCGGAGCTTTTCTTTCGTCTCCGGCGAGAAGGAATACAGACGAGATTCGGACTGAGAGAGGAGGGGGTGTCAATATCACGGGTCACCGATGAAGGGCAAGGAGGGGGGAGGGAATGCGGGGCATGTGTCCTCACCATCTTGTTGGTATGATAATGACCTCACCAGGGTTGAACCACACGAAATTCTCTTTAAGACTAGCAACGAACAGCCAGCGGTGCAGACACGAAAAGAACGAGGGGGATATCAGAAATGAAGCAGAAGATGTCGATCGAGAAGGCAACTCAGCTCCAAGTGGGATGGAAGGATGATGAATGATGGATGGGATGGAAACGGGTTGCCGGCCGCCCGCTATTTTCTTCCCCACCCGCTCGAACCTCTCCGTTGGCGGCCCTCCAGACTTTCTGTTTCTCACTTTCTTTCCTTTCCCCCCTCCCCGCTCGCTCACGCTTGATACTTATTCCGCCTGAAATCCAGTTACTCCGTCCTCCTTTCGTTCCTTTTCACCACCATCCTCGATGTTCAGTCGACTCAGTCAACTCACCCGTCAGCTAACCCGGCCAGCCCTTAACAATTCATCTTCTGCGTCCTCAATTCCTTTCACTCCTGCCTCAGCACTCGGAACTCGGGCTCCATCCCCATCCTTCAATATGACATCATCCGTACTCCCGAAGAACAAACGCACCATCCACACCGCAGCATGTCTGATCATTGGCGATGAGGTACTTGGAGGCAAGGTGAGTATCTTATCCTCATCACCAATGTCTCATTTCTCATTCACTATTTATTCACCACCGCACGCCACCCTGCTCCTCCTCAATTGAGAAGGAAGTGGTGTGTCCATATCCAACCAACCCCAACCCATCTGCGACGCAAACCCATTCCCCACCGACCGAACCACCCAACTAACCACTTCCCCCCGCAAATCCTCCAGACAATAGACACCAACTCCGCCTTCTTCGCGAAATGGTGTTTCTCGCTGGGCATCCAACTGAAGCGCGTGGAGGTGATCGCGGACGACGAGAGCGAGATCATCGAAGCGGTGCGGCGCATGAGTGATCGGTACGACTTTGTAGTGACCAGCGGAGGCATTGGACCGACGTACGTACTGCCTGACAGGCACTTCCTCGAATTACTCCCCCTCAAACCACCTACAAACTAACACCTTCCCCCAAGCCACGACGATATAACCTACGCCTCGATCGCGCGCGCCTTCTCCCTGCCGCTCAAACTCCACACGCCGGCCTTCGAGCGGATGAAGCGCCTCTCGAAACCGCACCCCATGCAACCGGCCTTTGACTGGGACACGCCGTCGGCGAGCCTGACGGCCAAGCTGCGGATGGTGGAGCTGCCGCACGACGCGAGCCTCCCCGAAGACGAGCAGGCCATCTTCGTGGCGGACGACATGTGGGTGCCGATCGCGATCGTGAACGGCAACGTGCACATCCTGCCGGGGGTGCCGCGGCTGTTCGAGCGGCTGCTGGAGCACCTGAAGCCGACGCTGCTGCCGCGGCTGGTCAACCCGGAGGAAGGCAAGGGCATCTACCGCTACCTGTTCAGCACCCCCTTGCCCGAGAGCGACGTGGCCGGCTACCTGACCGAGCTGGCCGCCCGCGTCGCCGACCGCGGCGTCAAGGTCGGCAGCTACCCGCGCTGGGGCAACAAGCGCAACACCGTGACGCTGGTCGGCACCGACAGGGAGCTGATGGACGCGCTGATCCCCGAGGTCGAGCGCGAGGTCCAGGGGAAGAAGGTCGCCCGCGAGGATGAGTTGGATCCGCCTTCCGATGCTGAGGAGGAGAAGTAAAATTTCAAAAGAATGGTTGACGCAAAAGATTGGAAAAGCGTCTCAGTCAACCCCGTTGAGCTAGAATTCCGGGGGGTATATAGAGAAATCCAGTTTGCCGGGAAGGCCCCGGCCCCGTCGGACCGTCCGCTGTCACATCCATGTTATCTCCTTATCCAGTAGACGATGGTATGAGCCAACTTAACCAGAGTCTCAGATGAACAGTTGAAGGCAAAGGCACTCTCGAAACAGTCGTTCTTCAATCGCAGTGACCAAAACTCAGCAAACCCAGGAATCTGCCAAGTAAGAAGACAGGAAGTCTACACTATACCTTGAATGTGCACACACCAAATCAAAAACAAGGACGACGATAGACTTGCTCCGTCACTTGACTAAAGGCACAGGCACATAGCGTATCGACCGAAAAATCAAGCCATATGGCTAAGACACCAAGCAGAACGTAAGAATCAGGCAATATTCATTCCTAACAGACTTCGGAGAGCCCCATGCCCCGTATCTCTCCGTACGGCACCGTCTCCGAGGGAGAAAAGATGTACACAAAAAGGTATGGCGAATGCGTGGGAAGGGGTCAACATGGGTCGACTGGCAGGAAAATAACGGAGCGAACTAAGCATTAAGTTGAAATGAGGTCGAGGTCGAGATGCCTGACGACGAGAGCCACGCAGAAGCATCGATGGGAAACGGGCGACGGAAGGACAGGGGGGCAGCCCTGAAAAGCCAACAATAAACCAGAATGCTAGCGACAGCAATAGCATATACCTAGATAAAATGCACAAGATCTAACGAACAGGCTCCTTTTCCCACCCCCCTCCCCATCCTTTCCAAGATCGAAATATCGTTTAAGAAAAAAAAAAAAAAAAGAACCCAGATTGAAAGAAGTGGCCAATCTTGCAAATGAAATAAGAAGTGATAGATGATCAAGAAAAGAGAAGAAAAAGAAAGAAGAAAAAAATAGAAGAACAGAGAAACAGAAGGGGAATCGAACGTTCATGGAGAGGATGGCGGCATGGGCATGAGGGCGGGAGCAGTCATCATCGGGGCGACGAGCCTCATCTGGTATAATAGCACGGTCCAAACGCGTCGACAAGCCACATTCCGCATCACGATGGTGGGTAGTGCTGATCTCGCTTCCTGCCGAGGTATAATGTTTTGTTTCCTTCCGAATCTCGACATGTGTGTATCCTTTTCAATCCAACGCCTGTTCATTACATTATAATACATTTACAGCACCCTTCACTCTCGCCAGGCTCGCTGACGTCCATCTTGCCCTCGGGGGCGCGGGAGCCGAAGCCGCCCGCCCCGGACGGGTATGAGGACATCTCCTTGTTGTACCGACGAATCTCGCGCACGAGGTCGTAGAAAGCGTTCTCAACGTTGATGCGAGACTTGGCGGAGGTTTCGATGAATTTGCAGCCGAACTGCCGTGCTAGCGCCTCGCCCTCTGGAGATGAAGAAAATCGCTCGTCAGCTTGCGTCGCAATGAAGCACCTTGGACTGGATGACCCACCTTCTTCTGTGACAGCCCTCTCCTTCTCCAAATCGCACTTGTTTCCGACGACGATGATGGGGAAGTAGTCCTTGTCCTTGACTCGTAGGATCTGCTGCTGGAACGTCATGATTTCTTCAAATGACTGACGCGACGTTATCGAGTAGACGAGAAGGAAGCCTTCGCCGGTCCGCATGTATTGTTCGCGCATCGCCGAGTATTCCTCCTGGCCGGCAGTATCTAGAACATCCAACAAAGCGACCTCATCGTCAATGACGCACTGCTTGCGGTACGAATCTGTTGCAAGGGAAAGGCTAGGTTAGCTGCGCGATCGGTCGGCGACGGCAAAGCATGGTTGCTGCTCACCCTCAATCGTCGGATCATATTCGTCCACGAAGTGACTCTGAATCAATTGAATGGTCAAGCAAGACTTTCCGACACCACCACCACCGACAACAACTAGCTTATATTCTCTAAGAAACTAAAGGCAATTGTGAGCATTTGTCGTGATGGCGCTGCGCTGCTGCAGGTTCGACGGTGAGGTAGTAAATCGGGGAAATAGGAGGCGGGAAGGAAAGGGAGACCAGAGACGGCAAACTTAGAACGCGGGAGAAAAGCGTACCTTTGAAGCCATCCTGGTAGGCTTTGTTCTGTATTATGCTGGGATATGGGGGGAGGGGGGAAGGAAGGGGGAAAGAGAAATGGTGATCGTAGCTATCCCAACAGGAGCTGTGACAAGCGGGTCGAAGGAGCAAGTAACAACACAATTTTCTTTGCCAAAGGGTCAAGAGGTCGGGCCCAGGTCGTTGGAAGTTTTGCGCAGAGTAAAGGCGCCTAAAGGGCAGTCCACAGCAACGGCGGGTCTGGTGAACAGGCCAAGCTTAAAGAAGCAGACTGGGGGGTGGGAAGAGGGTCGATAGGAGGGGATGTGCCGATGTAGTGTGTGGGAGAGAGAGGATCAGGGGGGGTGGAGGGGGGTGTGGTTCGTGGAACTTTGCAGCGGGCGTAATTGAAGATGAACCAGCAGGTGGTCTCCCGGGAAAGCTGCAATTCGTCTGGTTCTAAACCGTCTATGGAAGCCAAAGTCAATCAAGAAGACCTTCGAGAAGTTCGTTCGAGTGGATTCAAATTCAAGGAGGTCAAGAGAAAGGGAGGAGAGGAAAGATAGGGTGGAGAGATTGAGAGGGGAAAGGGGAGAAAGACAGAGCCCGAGAAGGGAAGGAAGGCGATGATTAAGGAGCGGTTAGTTCAACTTGAGGAACGGAGAGAGAGGAAAAAGAGTGGGGATGGCAGGGAAGGACAAGCCTGGACAGAAGGAGTCTAGATGATGAAGTGACTACGAAGTACGACTAGTATACCTACTAGTAGAGTAGTAATCGAGGAAGAGAGCAAGAGCAATTAACATAGAAGATACTAGTCACTCCTCCTCCTCCTCCTCCTCCTCCTCATCATCATCATCGTCATATCATCTCCAACAAAGTAGATTAAGATAACTGTAGCGACCGTGGGGACGGAGACATTGACATTGACCCTATTCCGAGTCAATCACTACGACTAGGAATCGGACTCAACACTAATTACGGAGTACTAGGTAACTAGAAGAGTAGAAAAGATTGGAAATGAGGTTGCTGCTGATTGGGGGGTAAGTTGTAGAATAATAATAATTAAGAAAGGGGGGAAGGAAGAGAACGAGCGAGAAAGAGGATGATGGGTGGATGGGTGGGTGTGGCATTAACCGGCGACGCGTGTGGTTCAATCCAGCCCAGCCAAGACGGTGTTTAATTATTATTTAATCGGGCGATTGGTCCACTGGGAATAATTACTCTCTCTCGCCATCATCGCATCCTAGCTGCCTTTTGTCATTGTTAACATTTGGACAATAAGAAATGGAAAAGGAAAAGGGAAAGAAAAAAGAAAAAAAAGAAAAAGAAAAGAAATCAAACGCAATCAGCTCAACTACAATTCAAAGCCTCTTCCTCGTCATTGCTCGAGATCCCCGTCTACATGGTAAATTGTCAAAGATAAAGCTCGGAATCACCGTCCGTGATTGGAAAGAAGAGGAACAGGACAGACGATCGCAAGTGGAGGCGGAAGGCAAGGCAAGAAAATTAGGGCCGTGAGCAGTCTCTGCAACGAACATCAATTGGTGGCATGGCACGAAGGAGTTCAAGTTGTCCAAGGAGCCTGGAGGGAAAAAGGGGTTGCCGATTCAGTCACATCACAATCTCTATCCATTGAACGGAAGCTAAATACCGTAAACCCTCCCTCCCTCGCCTTACTGCAATAACACCAAGTAATAAGAAACTTGAGTGAGTACGGAGACTACTACCTTTCTATCTCGCTCCTTAAAGTTGCCATCCCCGGCGGATGCCACAGAGCCATCAATCTCGACCGAATCGCTGTGTGTCCTTGATCCAAAGACATTTTGGTCCCTCTCAGGACTGGCCATAGATTAATCTCACCAGTTCCACCTCTTAGCGCCGGTCGATAAAAGGTTCTACACACTAAATCGTCCAGAGGCCCCATCGGGTCTCCCCTGAGGGTCTCCAACCACTTTACTCAATGCCTTCAGCGACCTCGCTATGCGCAACTCGGAAAACAAACGGATAGCTTTCAATCCCCACAGCCAATCACGCTGCTGTCAGCTTGAGCAATTGTGACCCTCCTGGTGTCTGCGTCCCGCTCCGACTCCTCCGTTGAGCTCCTCTCGCGCAGGGTGCAAGGGCTGCAAGTCAGACTCGAATATTCCCCGTTCCAACTGAGTCAGTGGGTTCGCTGTGGTGATTGATGATGACGAGGAAGGCCGCGCAGGGGGATCGTTATCGGACAACAGATACGTCCGTGGAAAGTAGTGACCATCAAGAACTCATCAAAAAAAACCTTTTCTAGAAGCGATGTCGGCTCGACGGACTGACAGGCACTGCAATTGACAGCTCCATCCAGACGCGTAGGCTTACATCATAGGCGTGGATGTTGAGTTTTCCGGCTTCCTGGGAGTTCTTGGCACCATCTCCAATACCACTCTACTCAGCACTTGGTTAGTTAGTCTACAGTGTCACAGTGACACCGACGGTCTGGAGTCTCTGGACAGAGCCTCAGGCCGAGGGTGAGGGGAGAGCTCATGTTTCTCCACACCTCCACTTGTCAGCTCACATCTCATGGGAAACATTTCACCATATGCAACGGCTGGTAAGTACAGTACAAAATCTCGGTAGCCTCGGAACCCACCCCTGGATGATAGAGGGCCAACAACCCTGGTTCTCTCCTGATGCTATCGATGCCGTCATAAAAGAACGTCCTAGATCGGAATGCTTCCAGTACGCCGGTGGCATTGAATATTGCCCTATGTCAACTGTAAACTGTAGTCAAACTATCAACCCCAGTTTGCCATCACAAATGTCTTGGCCTGCACTTCCCTCGGTACATGCACAGACCGTACAATACAAGTTTATCCGGACTACCTTACCCATCTTCCGACCTTCCCCGCGCAGTTGTATATACATCAACTCACTATCCTATAAGATGCATGATCCGAGAACTTACCAGTCACACTTCAACCATGTGCCGGGAACGTCCAGTCCATCAATCACCCAAATTAGCTTTCTGGAGCACATCCCTCTCCCCTGCTTGGCAACGATGTGCGTGGCTATAGAGAACAAACCAACCCATCGGAAGGCAGACCGATCTCTCCGACCACAGGCCTCTCTCTCTCTCTTTTGGTCGCCATCCACTCACCGCAACATTCCCGTTCACTCACAACACCACCGGCGCTTAGCAACTGCTTATCAGCCTTTCTTCCAGGCTCCATCGCAACGCTTTGGACATGACTCAGTACCCTGGAAGAGGACCCCCGCGCGTTCGCAACGACAAGGACGAGTGGCATCGACCACGGTCGCGACCAGTCCTGATGGCACTGAAGGGCAATATGAAGGATGTCGGCAGTAGGAATATATCACCACCAGCGACGCGTCCAACGATGTAGCACCCATGCAGCGACACAAGAATAGACCCACAAGCCCATAACTCACAACACCCATGACAGGAACCAGGATCCTTCGGAGCAGAACCATCGGCCAGATCGAGGTCTGGACAATCCATTTGGCCGAGCGGTGCAACGCTCACGTCAACCTAACAACTTATCCCATATAGTTCACACCAACGAAGTCAAACCACAGCAACAGCCTTCCAACCACCCAAGCAAAACCCACTGCATCGAGAATGACACAAACGTAGCAGCACCCTCGAACTCAAAACCACCACCAACAATCACTTTGTCGTCCCTTCCACCATCCTTAGTACCATCCTATCCCGCCCGGCTCAGACGTATGCACACCATACGGTAGGATCGGTATACATCCCAATGATCGACAAAACAGACCCAAAAAAGCCCCCAACGTCTCAAGCACAATTGCCCTTAAAGTTCACAAATCAGACTAGCGGTTGACGGGTACGGTAGTTACACAGCAGGTCTAGACCGCCATTCTCTCCTGGGTCGAGATTTGAGATTCGGCCCAGGCAATAATTGCTTCTTCTTGTCTCTGTGTCTTGGCTCCCATGTCCCATGTCATATGCAGGGGAAAAAATCGAAATCGGTCGGAGCTTGAAGCGTGAGGGGCCGATGAACCGACATGTCGATGT